TCACATTCTCTAGTGGGAGGTTGCCTGTTCTGCAGAGGCAGCCTGTGTAATACAAGCCTTTTATGAGCTGATTACCTTCATCTGATGCTTTCCTTACACAATGTCAAATTTGCTTTTAATTGTAGCATCTGGGTTTGAAGTTAAAGTATCAATGGAGCCAATGAATGAGATGGCACTGAAGTTTTGGTCCACCTGCTGAAAGCAGCAGGTAATAAATACAGAGAACTCTTTAAACCAAGTAAACTGAGCTGGGGACATGGGAGAGTCTGCTTAGCAACCAGATGCAGAAAACGTATTTTAAGTGTTTTCTGAGCAGCAAAGAAAATTGGTTTACTCTATGCTGTCCAACAAAGTGCAGTGGTTCAGATCAAATGGCCTGAAAGTGTCATAATTGTCATCTCCCCAAATTTGCTCCTTGTTCCTGACACTGAGTACATTTTATGGTGGTGAGATAACAATATATGACCTTCTCTTGCTTACAGAGATCCTTTATACTGCTACATTTCCCAGGGTGCAGTTGTTGACTGGGTCAGTTTTAAAGCTTTTTAAGGAGGTGAATGTTTTGTAATTTAAATGAAGACTACTTCTGTACTTGTTTACAGGAGCTTCCCCTAGTCCTAACATTTCACAGTATTTTAACTTCATTAGACAATTGAATGCTTCCAAATACCACGTTGATTTGCTAAACTTTTCAAAAGTTGGCAACATTTGACTTTGTAAAGCAAATGTCTTTGCTAACTACGCAGTTGGTGTGTTTGAGGAGTCTTTTTGGTTTAGGTGATAACTAAGCTAATGATGTTTATCTAAAATACCTGTTAAATTTGCAGCATTTATTAGGTAGATTCTGTTTCTATAGCTTTAAGGACCTTAATTGGCATATGGCTGAGATTTTATCAGGGTATTATCTAAATAAGAATCAGACCATGAGAAGGATGTTTTTATGGTGTTCAAACAGACTATATATATTAAGATATTGAATTTGGAGGTAATAAACCTAGTGACCCTTTGAGTTTGCATTCTTCCACAGCTCATGCAAAGCATATTGGTGTTTTATGGGGTTATAAATTTTTAATAGTGAATACTAGTGTAACAGAATTTGCTCTTTTTATTCATGGCCATGTAAGCAAGAATGGAAGGATGCTAATCTTGAATTCCTGCTTTTTAGTTATCACAGTGGACATTTCTCTAAGGCATGAGATGCTTAGCAGCAACTCTGAGATGATTTCTGGACAGTTTTTTCCCCACAGTGGATGAGCTCCTCCCATTTCCTGCAATATGAGTAAGATGGAAAGTTGATAAATTTGAATGACTGTTGTCCAGTTACTGTAATTGCAGTCATATTTTTATATAATGCAAATGATTTGTAATGGACACCACTGAACTTGGTGTTTCCATATTATTAAAGTTCTGGTCGTGATGTCTAGTGGCTGTTCTAACTGCATGTATTTTAGAACAGTGAATTTCACTTGCTTTCCTGGGCTGTTTTTTTGTCATAAGTTACAGCCAAAGAAGCAGCAGGTACTCTTCACTCATGCTTCCAAGGTTTAACACCAAAGACAAAAATAATTATTTTCATCACAGAATTTAAAAAACCAAACAAAACCGAAACCAAACCAACAAAAAAAAAGAAAGAAGAAAAAAAAAACACCAACTCATCAGCTCCTTGCAGTGATAGCAGATACAACTTTTAGGATGCTTTGGGCTCCATGACAAAGAGAGTTTCTGAAGCCAGCTCATGACTGTGCTGTGAACCAAACAGGAACTGGTCTCTAAACCAGCCTGAATTTCTGTGTTGCCTAAACTGTCATGTGAGCTAAAGAGAAACTTGCTGAGAATAATCACCAGCTGGCCTTTGCTGCTCCCAGGCAGAATGTCCTCTCCTTTATCCAGAGGAGCCTGGCAGGTGGGGCTGCCCTACAGATGGGTTCTGTAATGCCTTTGGTTCTGTGCAGGACAGGGCTGTAACCTCAGCACAGGCAAACACTGGCAGTTGCTCCAAAGCTTAACCAAAACCCAGGCAAGGCTGATCTCAGATTCTTGAGATGTTTCTGCCTCGAAGGCAGAATTTGATGGCTTCTGAAAGTCAAAGGAAAATACAAGAATATAAAATCAAAATATTGGGATCCCATGTGAACAAGAACAAGCTTTTGAAGTTTTACCTTTCTCTGGGCTCCCTGGAGCAATGGCAGACTGGGCAGTGCCATCCTGCACCCAGGCTCTGTTCAGCATCATTCTGTGCTGTAGAGAGGCAGCTGGCTTTGAGCTGAAAGAAAAGGAGCTGCTAAGAAGGCTCATCCATTTAAGAGCTGTAATGTGCAATGTGCCTGATTAGTTTGGTCTGGTTTAACCAACCTGTTTGCACGGGTTTGGAGCATGAAGGTAGTGGAAAGAAAGCTTCTTTAGTAAGATACTCAGTATTGCCAGGAATCTGGTTAGAGCACCAGCCGTGAGCAAAGTGGGCGATGTGCAAGTGCTGATACTGAGTCCAGGGAGCAAGTGCAGCACCTGTTTGTGACCATCTGCCCCACCCCTGTATCTCAGCTCGTTCCTTTGCACTCCGTTCATTGCAGTTGTTGCAATGTTGTAAGCCCAGGTGTTTTGTTACCACTCAGTGTTCAGTAAATCTGCCACTGAGTCTCTGAAATTGGCAGTGAAGAGAGATTAGTTTTTAATGAAACAACTCAGCAGCAAAGTGGGCACAGAGGATCATGTTTTTGAGGCTCAGAGGAAGACATCTCCTGTTTGTGATTCCCTGCTCTTGTGATTGTTGTGAAGTCAGTGAGAGGGGCTTTCAGTGGTTAAATATCCTGGCACTTGGTATTTGTCTAATGTCACAGCACAGGTTTAACAATGTAAAAGAACAAAAAAGTGTGGAAGTGCTCCCCTCTTAGAAACAAAAGTGCAGAACTTAAAATAAAACTTTGAAAACAAAGTGCAATTTTGCACAGAGGGCAAAAAACCCCTGAAACTCCTTTGAATGTCACTTCCATTCTTCCTTTCTTTTGCTGAAAGCAGACTCTTGTTCTTGACTTGTATTTGTAAACTAGTCTTGCCAAAATACACGTTGGGTTTTTTCACTTCAGATAATTTTTGTTGTTACAGTCGTTGCTGATCATTTCAACTTCTTGCAAACCATAAATTTTATTTCAAGAGGCCTTCCCTGTGGATTTCCTCATGGTGCTCTGCAGCACTACACTGCTCTTTCAAGAGGCAAGAGAAAGTCACCTCACAGGAGACACTCAACACAGCTTAGCTGGCTGGAGCTAATGATGCGCTACTAATTTTCCTCTGTGGGGCAGGAGGGGAATTAAATTCTGCATAAAGTTGCTACCTCAAGGCTCCAATGCTTTTAAAGGTCTTTCACTTGGGAGAATTTAATAAGACAGTTCTTAAAATTGGTCTGTTCTTTTGAGTTCAATGGGATTTTTTAATTGATTCATTGAGGGACCCTTATTTTAATTCATTTTACTACTTGATTCTCAAAGGATGAACAGCTGCGAAGTTTGATTCTTGCACTGTAGTGTTGACCATGAAAGAAAAATATCTGCCATATAAACATATGGTTTTAACAAGTTAAACCACTCTGGGGTTCAGCTTCACTTTTGGTTAATAAAAAACTGACCTGTTGTGTCCAGCCTTCCTGTACAGTCCTGTGTGTGCTCGTTATTGACTCGCTGCAGCTGACACAGCCCCAGCCTTCCAGCAGCTCCCTGGATGCACTGGGAGTGCCTGAGTGAGTTCCTCTTGCAGCACCTGCCCCACTGCAGTAACAAAAATACATTTTATACAGCACTTCACCTCCCAAGTTTTGCTGCTTGGTGATGATGAAATTTTACTAATATTTTTAAAGTAATACAAACTACTGTAGGTAGTGTTGGTCCCAGTAAAACTGGCTGCTCTGATTGGTTTGCAAAATTATTGTGGAACTGATTTATTGAGCACTACACTAACCGGTGATCAGTTCCCAGGAGAAACCTTCAGGAATACTGTGTATCTTGTTAGCCTACGCTTACAGCTACTGAACATTATGTGGCAAACTACCTTTTCTTTAAACTAACTAACAATCCGAAAATTACTTTGGTACATGTGAAATTATATTTGCGTTTGCTGAAGTTTTGTTTCTGAATGTTTGGCAGAGTTTGGTTCAGTTTGGTATGTTTGGTACAGTTTATGTACCATTTTTAAGTCAGTCCAGGAGCGGAGCTCAGGTAGATTGTGGTGCTAGGCTTGAGAAAGCTCTGCTGGAATAATGAGGACTTTTGCACAGACTGAGCCATGTGAAGGTGCAGGCAAAAGGTGTTCTGTGAGCTGGGCCTTGACTCAAGCCTGCTGGATGTACATTGGGCTGCTCTGCAGTGTTACCCTGCTGGGGTCGATGCTAATTCCTGGATAAACCTTCTGGTAAAAGAAGGACGATTCTGTGAGGTTCTTTTGAGGATAATGTTTAATTATTTCAGCAAAGGTACTTCCATCCTTTCTGCTGTTTTTGTGGTAAGGATACATTTAATGGCAATCTTTAGAACAGGTACAAGTTACTAAAATTGTGTTATTTTATCATCTCAATTAGCTGTTGACTGGTGAGTGCAGACAGGCTGCCAGGATCGTTCTGTGCACTTTCCAATTCCTTTCAGCTGTGTGTCCCTGCAAATCTGAGTCTGGGGCAGCAGAGTCTCCTCAGTGTCTGTAAACTTTCCCCGAAGTTGTCTCGGGAACAGCCCCTTAGCTCGGAGGCCCAGCGCAGCCGCGTTTCCGTGCCCGCCTGCAGGGGTGTGTTTGTGCTGCGGCGCTCCGTGTTTGCCTTCGCGAAGTTAAAGCTTGGTCTGTTCCCGCCGCTTCCCAGAGATTCGTCTCAGCCTCAAGACACTGCTCTGGCTCTCCTCCCTTCCGCAGGGCTGCGTTTGGTGCCACGGGCGCGGCTGCGGGCCTGGGCCGGGCCACGGCGACACTGGAGGCGCTGCGCGGTTGCCATGGCGACAGTGACCCCGCGCGGCTGCCGTAGAAGGGGCGGGCGGGCGGCGCTCGCGGTCTGGCGGGGTCGGGAATGGCGGCGGCCGCGTTCGAGCGGCGCGTGCTGCGGAGCGCGGCCGAGCATCACTATCTGCGCGTGCGCCTGTGAGCGGCACCCCCGAACCGGGACCCTCCGAACCGGGACCGCAGAACTGGGACCCCCAAGCCGGGATCCCCGAGCCCCCCTCAGAGCCCTCCTGGCCCCTCCTGACCCCTGTGCTCTCCTTCCCGCAGGGAGCTGCCCGACGGCGGGGCCCGGCCGAACGCCGCGCAGTTCAAGCAGCTCGTGGTGACGGCGCTGAGGGAGCTGCACGGAGAGGTGGGACCGGCACCGGTACCGGGACTGCGGCTCCGGCCCGGGCCGGGAGAGCCTTGCGGGAGCAGGTTGCTGTCCCGGAACAGCCCAGGGGTGGATGGGCCGGGTTTGCCCCGCCGGTGCCCGGTTAGCAGCCGCTCTCCCGACTCGCTGCCAGTGGAGCTGTGCGGTTCGGTTCGGTGCCCGCAGCCATCCCTGGCCGCGCTCAGGGTCGGGTTGGACCGGGCTCGGAGCAGCGTGCTCCAGTGGAAGGGACCGCTGACCCGGCAGCCGGGCTGGAGCTGGGGGAACTCTGTAAGGTCCCTTCCAGCTCAGACCGCTCTTTGGTACTTGTTTTTAGAATTTGTGGTGTTGATGCTTTTGCTGGACAGAGGCTTTAAAAGGAATTGTGGGAAGGGAACAGCGTTTGGATGGGAAAGCCCACAGCACTGGTTTTGCTCTGTTTACTCTATTGCTGGCTGACTTTAGGCAGGTCACATCACCTCTTGGCTGTAATGTGGAAATAAAAGTGGTTTCTAAAGAACTCCGAGAGGAAGGGTGCTGTTTAATATCCAGTCATGTGACTGAAACACTTGTATGAGATTTGAGTGTAACTATAACACCTTTAATGATGTTACATGCTGGGGGTGAAATCAGTTGCTTATAAACCACGATAAGAACATAGGGTGATAGTTACTAAGTAACATTTGTTTTCATAGGTTGGAGCAGCTTTGCCTGTTGACGTCTTAACATACGAGGAAAAAACTCTGTCTGCCATATTAAGAGTCATTAGCAGGTAAGGTGCAGTCTGTGCTTCCATGTCATGAAAATATTTTTTGCAAGAAAATAGAACTCTTAAACTAAGAATGGCTTGTGAAGAATTAAGCCTAGCCTGCAGATATTTGCATACAGCATGCAGAAAATAATTACTGAGTCTTTGTAACTTTGTGCATCAGTACATTATTCCTGCTTTAAACCACATTAAATGATTTTAATGGCTTTAAGACAGGAAGTAAGCATTGCTGAGGCAGTGACTTTAAATCTCTTTCTATAATAAAGATGAGAATGGTTACTCTAAGTGGTGATGACAACTGCAAGTGATTTGGGTGAAGAATGAACTTAAATGCACACTGAGAACAAGAACAGTTCTGGTAAAGTGAACTTTAGGTTGCAGTACATAAGTCTCTGTCAAAGACAAGAGACTGCAGCCACTGCAGTAATCCTTCAAGATGCAGTTTTGCTGCTAGAATTCTTTAGTGAAATTACCAACTGTTGAACTGTTAAGGGTTTCTTACATTTTGCATAACATACTTTCTATTTGAGATGTCTATGCTGCAGGAAAACAGAAAACCTCAAATTTCATTAATATGTTTTGTTTTCTTTTTATTTAGTGGCCTTGTCAAGCTGTGGAGTGCTCTCACCTTGCTGGGCTTCTACCAGAACAGGAGGTGTGCCTTCCGGGTGCTGCAGGTAAAGCCCTGTGGGGCTGGGTGCCTTCCCCCAGGTGTCAGCTCTGGCTCCAAGCTTGGCAGGCTGCCCCAGCCTATTGCCTGCTCATAGAAAGATGGCCTAGATGCCAAACTGCCTTGCTTTGGGAATGATGTGCCTTTCAGTGCAGGTCTGTGGGCCCCTGGTTGAGCAGTTCTCATCTAAAAATGAGTCTTGTACAATGTGACAGTAGTGGCTGTCTCATAACTTCACGATTTCACTCCAGTGACAAGTACTGATGTGATTAATACATCTGCAAGAAAATAATTTCTGGCAAGTGCTGTTCATGACCCACATCTTGGTCCAGGTTTTATTTTCCCTAGTTCGCTTTCTGCCTTTCTAATGATTATTGTCAACTGACCTCGTTTAACATGCATTTCCAGAGCTTGTTTTTTTCCAGAGGATGCTGCTTAATAAAATGAGTTCTGAGAATTCTTTGTTTCTGAAGCCATGGCTAGACAAAAGTCTGCTCAGGCATAACTCTAAGTTTTTAATCTATCATGTGAAAGGAAAATTGAAGTATTTTTAACTTTGACAGCATTTGATGGTGGGTTTTTTTAAGGCTTTAGTTGTTCAGTTTTGTTTGTTTTTTCTTTCCCCAAACCAGACATCTCCGTTTCTGCTTGCGTTATCCGGCAACAGTAGAGAATTAGTCTTGGACTGAAGGCAACTGATGGTTCAGCTGCATGCAGGAGAAGTTCCTGGAAATGTTGTGGCCCTTCAGGTGTGGAATTTCTGGAGGGATTTTCCAACAAAGAGCCTTGACAAAGCCAATGTTTATCAACTCACTGCTTGGACATCCTGCATTTCAGAACTTACACGTAAAAGTTGGAGACAAAGCTGAACTTAGCAAGGCTTTTACACAGAATGATGTAGTTACCTTTTCTTATTTGACAGGTGACACAAATCCTTTGCATCTAAATGAAGAGTTTGCAAAGAAGTCTAGGTTTGGGAGAACCGTTGTCCATGGAGTTCTGATCAATGGACTTATTTCTGCAGTTCTGGGCACCAAAATGCCTGGTCAAGGATGTATATTTCTCTCCCAGGAGATTCGTTTTCCAGCTCCTTTGTATGTTGGTGAAGAAGTCACAGCTGCAGCAGAAGTGCAACGACTGAAGGGTTCTGTTGCACACATTTCTGTATCGTGTCAGGTCAGAGAAAGTGGGAAGACTGTTATGGAAGGGATGGTGAAAGTCATGGTGCCAGAGAGTTAGAGCTGTTCATCATGTGCAACTTCAGCATAAAGGCCAGAACCAATGTACACTTAGTTTTGAGTCTCTTTTTATGTGAAATCACAAAACCAGTAAATTTGCAACAAAAGCCTTTCAAAATGTCTGAAAGTGCACAAACTTAACCTTACTAGAACTGCATTGAAATTAGAGCTTTTCCTTTTTTCACCATGGTGGGTTTCTCTGCCAAGGTGAACCAGGCACTTGCTGTGACAAAGTGGCACATTCAGAGAAGCCTTTTTGCTGCCACAGTGGGAAGTTTGGACTGGTGGGGCTCACACTGAGGCTGTTCTTCCTGGTAAAATTGCAGTCCACACCAGCAAAGTTCAGTTAAAACTTGTTCCTTCTGTACAAAGCAGCTGTACTGCCAACAAGCACTGGGGAGGGGACAGTGCTGTGTTCAAAAGAAACAGAAGTGGAGGTGCTGACACTCATGTACTGCAAGATGTGTTGTAATCTGCATAGCAGCTCCAGCTGGTGCTTCTTCTGAAACGTGCCTCCCAGAAAGAGAGTGAAGAAGGCTTTAAAAAAATGTATTGTCACAACTTGTACTGACTGTATTTGTGCTCCTGAGGGCAAGGCAAACAAGGGCAGATGATTTGAGTACTAACTGTATGGCTTCTCTCTCTTTGCTTAAATGTGTGAACATGGATTTTTCTTTGTCCACTGAAAGTACCTTGGTAGAGTAGACTTCTGGCAAATTCATTAGTACATCATCTGGGTTAAATTATTTTAGTACTGGCATAAGATTGTTATACACTAAGGAACTTCTTTTAGGAAGGATTGAGGCCATCAGGAGTCAGTTGGTGGCTCATAAAACTTCCTGGCAAAGTGTCTGTTATCCCCCTGTCTTCTCTGCAGCAGAAATGCATTTGAAACTTTCCTTGACTGCAAATAACCTCAGGAGTTGTCTGCTAAGAAAAGAGAGTTTCTCCTCAGCCTGTGGTGAAAAGCTGCTGGTAAAACAGCTGCCCTGCCAGAGTGTGCTGCACTCTAACCCCAGGTGTTAGTCACTGGAGCAGAGGGAGGGGTGATGTGTCAGGTGTTTGACTCCATACCTTCTCCTTCCAAAGCTTGGAGTTTGGCCTGTGTGCAACCTGGAAGCCGTAATTAGGAAGAGGTTTCCTTATCTCTTGTGTGTAGGAACTGTTTCACTTCAAGTTTCCTTTCCTTCTGCCTCAGGTCACTGCCTGTCACTGGTTTTGCTGGACAAAGCACTTCATCCAAGCACGCCCCTCCTTCCCCTGCCTCTCCCAAGTGGAAGTTGTCTTGTTAAGGCCTATTAACAAAATGAATCAGATCTGTGCCTGACCTCCTGGGTCACTGCAGGAGCAGTAGTTTGGGGAGTTGGGGTTGGCCTTCCAGCCTGGCTGCTGAACCACAGCAACACAGCCCATTTTCCTCTCATCATGGAGCTGCAAGACAGAGAGATGAATCTGCTCATGACACCTGCTCCAGGTGTATGACAAACCCCAGCTCTGCAGTCTTACAGCATCTTAAGTGAGAGTAATTCCTGTGTATGGTGTAAAAAGAGGAAATGCAGACAGGTACCCAACTTGTAGGTTCTCAAGCACTAAGCAGTATTCAAATAGAAAGTTTCTTATGCTGCTGCAGTCAGTCATGTTGAGGAATTCAATTGTTAGTAACTTTAAATTGTGTTTGACAAACAACCAAACCAGAAACCAAAACCCCACAAAAGATCAACTCCAAACCTTAAATTCTAGGAACTGAGTAAAATATACAGTATATTCTGATTATTTTATTAACACAAAACCCCCTGAGAGGTGAAGAGCAGCAAGTGCCCTAATAATTTTCCTGGTCTCTTTGGGAGGACCAGCCGTGTCTCGGGGCTGATTCCCGCGGGGCTGCAGCTGCTGTTGCTGCTGTCAGGCACGGGAGGCTTGGGTGGCGGGGTGACTCGACTACACTCATGGCTTCCCCTCCAGCCCCTTTCCCCGCGGAGACGAACCTCCTCGTGTCCCCCATCCCGTCCTGTTCCCCATCCCGGCCGTGTCCCCCATCTCTCCGTGTTTCCCCCCTCTCTCCCTGTCCCCATCTCTCCCTGTCCCCCGTCTCTCCGTGTCCCCCATCTCTCCGTGTCCCCGTCTCTCCGTGTCCCCTATCCCTCCTTGTCCCCCGTCTCTCCGTGTCCCCATCTCTCCGTGTCCCCTATCCCTCCTTGTCCCCCGTCTCTCCGTGTCCCCATCTCTCCGTGTCCCCTATCCCTCCTTGTCCCCCGTCTCTCCCTGTCCCGCGCTCCCGGGGCGGGACCCGCGCGGAGCGGCGGCCGCGGCGCCCCCTTGCGGCGGGCGGTGGCAGTGGCGGCGCTAAGGCCCCGCGGCGGCGGCGGCGCTGCCGTGTTGACAGCGGCGGCCGCGCCGGGAGCTGCCCCGGGAAGCGGGTTGGCGGCGCCGGTTCTCCGCTCCCAGCTCCGCTATGGCTTTCATGGAGAAGCCGCCGGCCGGCAAGGTGCTGCTGGACGACACGGTGCCGCTGACAGCGCAGATCGAGGCGAGCCAGAGCCTGCACTCGCACACGGTGAGCGGGGCAGGCCGGGCCGCGGGGGCAGGCGGGAGCGGCCGGGGCGGGGGAGGGAATGGAGGGAGCCGGTAACGGGGGGCGCCGGGGGGTGCTCGGGGTGCGCGGGGCCGGCCGGGGCACGGCGGGAGCGGGGCTGGGCGGGGGCCTGAGCCGAGCCCGCGGCTGCGGGGCCGGGGGTGGCGGGAGGCGGCGGCTGCGGCGGGGCACTGCAGGGTGCGCTGGGGGCGAGCGGGAGCGGGGCGGGAGGCGGCGCGGGTCCCAGCGCCCCGGAGCCCCGAGGTGGGGAGCGGCGGTGCCTCGGCTCCTTCGGCCCCTCTCTGCCCGCGGGGCTCCCGGGGACAGCCGGCAGCACCCCCGGGAAGGACCGGGGGCTCTGCGGGGGCGGCCGCTGCGGGGTTCGGCTGCCCCGCGGCCGCTCCGAGCGGGCCTGTGCGTTCCTGTGATTCCTGCTGCCCCCGGGGTGTGCAGCCCGCGGAGCAGAGATGGGCTCTGCCCGCCGCGTTCGGGTGGCGGTGATGGAGTTACACGTGAACGGGCTGCGTTCGCCTCCGGGTCCTGCCGTGGGGCCGAGCGGCGGCTGCGAACCGCAGGGACCCCGCAGCCCCAGCTCGGGGAGCGGTGGCACTCAGCAGAACAAACCCTGCCGTGACTTGGGTGTCACGGATTAATTCTTTGGGATGCCTAGGACACATGCACAGTGCTTCCATAAGAACTGTCTTTGAGCATGCAGCAATAATGCAAATTCTACAATGTCCTGTCTGCAGTTATTTTCCACTTTGAAAACCGGGTTTCATTATAGTATGACCAAGCAGTAGCATGAATCAGAGAACTGGCTGTAATGAGCTGAGAGCAGGGATGCTGGAGAGGAGGCCAGAGGTAGCTCAGCAGCAGGTACTCCAGTGGGAAGCTTGCTTTAAATGGAGAGAGGGTTTCCTTATGTCCGTTACCCAGCTCTGATGCCTGCATTGTGGATTGCTTCCTGGTTCCTGCATCTGTTGCATATCCTTAACCTGAACAACAATAACTGCATGTTCACCATGGGGTATACACTAATTTACAGACTGTCTTATTACATACTCTTCATATAAATAATTCACACTAAGAAGTGGTTTATTTTTTGTCTGAGGAGCTCACATTTCTTGACGTTCCAGTCTTTCTCTGAACAGAAGTTAACTATGAGAAATTGTCTAAGAGGACTTGTGAATCCAACAGGCTGTGGCTCTCAATTGGTGCAACTCCTCTTCTTATAAGTAAGACTAAAGAGGTTTATTTCCTGGCAAGTGTGATGCTTTTTACCTGATTCAATAGCTGAAGGATGGGTGTGCCAAGTCCTGTGAGAAGTTGTGTAACTCCTAATACTCCCCAGCAGACCAGATTATGTTTCATTAGTAGCTTGTTTCCTTATTATGCCTTTTCCTTAGTGCAAATGACAATAGCGTTTTGTGTTCTTTCCTTTGGTTTGCATGGTTCTGGTTGGAAAAGGAAAAGTCACAAGATTCTTTTAGAATGATCACTTGGAAGAACTTTTGCAATCCAGACTCTCCTTGTGTCATCTTGTGTGAGGGAGTGCGATAGCCCTGTCTTTCATCTCTGTATTCTGTTACTAACAGTTGTGTAGGAAAATTCTCTGCTGTTTTCTTCTGATCTTTTCTTAATAACAGAATGCTGGAGCACCGTGCCTTTTGAGTTAAAATCTGTCTCTAAGATACATCTATTAGTAATTGTTTGTTTTACTGCAGAAGCCCGTTGATAGCTGAAAGATGGCTTGAAGTGTGAGCAGCACAGATGGTTTATACAGAGCCAGTGTGGGATAACAAAATACAGGAAGCCATTAGCAGAGACTTGGTTTCTTATTTGATGTAAGTGGCCTATTCTGTCATTTCAGATACTTCATCTTATGTCCCTGGTGCGTGAATAGCTTGTTTATTGGTGGGTGATGCTGTCCCTGATTTGAACTTTCCTGATTCAAAATAAGCTGCAGAAATAAATCCTTGTCTCTCAAGAAGTGTGTAAATGAAGCCCTTTTAAGAAATAAGGGTTGAAGTGTTTGTGTGGGGCCTCAAAACTGTATTTTACTTTGTTAAATTATAGCTAGAAGAAAATAGATTGTCATTAAATGAATGCTTTTCAGTTTTGTTCTTCATTCCACCTAAAGTGGTATCTTCAAAAGATGCAGATCTATAAAATCCTTTATCCCAAACTAATGTTTGGTGAACTAGGCCTGTTCTAAAGCAAAGGCAGCCATGAATTTTTTTTTATTCTCTTGTCAGCATTATATACTAAGATTTTAAAATGTTGCTTAGTGTTGAAAGAGTTGTTTTAAACTTGGGTTTGTAATTTTTTTCCTGTAGATCATAGCTTCTAAAAGCACTCATATGAAGATGGCTTAGGCTGAGTTTAGGTGCAACTTTAACATGGCAACTGAACTACTAATTATGTAAACCTTCTGTTGGTGCTGAAAATAGCCAGTCTTCTGAAAAAACAGCTAAGGAAAAGGTGAAGAATTTCAGGAAAAGCTCTGTAGACATGGTGAAGTATCACACAGAAGACCAAAGCTTGTGTCTAATGAATAGTTTGCTTGTGTATTGTTCTAAGCAGTTTCTGTTAATTTAAATTTAGTACAACAGACTGGGTAAGTGTAAACTTCATAGCATTGAGTCAAGGGCTGTACTTGGCAGAGGCTGAGTTTCTGTTTCCTGAGGCTGAAGGTGAAACTAAAAGAAACAAAACTGAAAACAAAACCTGAGACCACTATGTTCTTACCTGAATTCTCCAGAAACCTCAGAAGGGGTTAAGCTACTATTGAAAATGGACTTTTGAGGATTTGCACTTTTTGCTTAGTAAGAGTATGTCAACCCCATAAATGGGTTTTTAGATTGTTAGGGAGCCAAGTGCCAAATTATCTGATAGGCTCACAGGCTCAGCAAGCTTCGTGCAAGTCAGAGAGCTCAGGAGTTCTTACTGGACTTAGTTCATCTGAGCTGGAACATAACCTCTGTGGTTTTGCATTGCAACAAAGAAATTCTTCACTGAGGTTTTCTTTCCGTGTATTTATTTCCAATCATAATTGGAGGAGGAAAATGATCCCTTTCTATGTTTGCAAAAGTTGTTTCCCTGGTTAAGTGTGTTACAAACAGTCTGAGTTTTGTTGGAATGTGCACTTAAATACAATTAATTCTATAGCGTGGTGTTTATGGAGTCCTTTTCATTTTGAAAGCCAAAAAGAAATACACATTGCAGGTGCCTTCCAGTGGCACCTTCAAAACCTAAGGGATTTGAAATTACAAGAGCAAGCCCAGTCAGTTTCATTTTGTCTCCTTTGTATGCTTCAGCCACCAGCAGTGCATCAGGGAGAGTAACTGTGTGACCCCAGGGGCGTGTTGGGCACCTTTCCACAGCCGTGAGTCAGTCCCTTTGTAGGTCTGGGTACCAACCCTTCTGCAGAAAATGAAGTTTTGTTGCATTCCTTGACTTCAATAGGAGCAGGATTACATCCAATATACTAAGCCATTTGCAAGTGTCTCATCTTGATGCCAAATGTTGTGTTCTGACAACAGAGGCAATTTCACTAAAGCTTTAATAAATTTTGGCTGTTTAACTTGCCTCATATTGCAATATTTCATCTGTGTGTTCACCATTTAATAGTGGTTTCTTTCTAAGCCTTAAAATAGGTTGCTATTTTCTTCCATGAAAATCTGACATTTTCCTTATTAAGAACTGTACCTGCAAGTCTGTTCAGCACTAAAACTACTGGTGAATTGTACATGTTCTTCTGAACATTTCTCAATTCTTTTCTGAAGTAATTTTCCTTTTTCTTGTGTTTCATATTTTGAAATTGAAATAGTGAAACAGCCAGCTTTGATTCAGTACATTGTTGTCTTAAAGGCATTTGGAAATGAACAGCTGAAATAAATCCCTCTCCTAACAATCTTTCAGGGTTTTTAGTTTTCTTTAAGCAATGATGAATGTTGACACTCATGGCTGCTAGATTAGAAAAACATTGAAAAAGCATTTATATTTTTCCTTTATTGTTCCAAATGGAAAAATGGAGCCACATATTTCTAGGACTGTAGGGTTTAGTTTAAAAGCTTGTAAAAGATTTTGTACATCTGCTTTACAAGGAATTCAGTCTTTTCAAGGCTTTATTCACTTTGGACAAAAACAAACATGAAGTTACTTATAGACATGGCATTACACAGGGAACTGTCTTAGTTCACTTGTTTGAGGTTTCAGAAATGCAGTTCCTCCCCTGGATTTAGTCAGTAAACTCGATTACCTCCCACCTCTTCTCCAGCCTGAGCTTACAAAAGATGGCTCTTTCATCACACTTTATTTTAAATATTCCAAACTTATGGTTTCCACTGGTGATCTTACTAAATTAGTATTGCATTTGTAGGTCCTGTCAACATTGTAGTCAAAATATTAGTTTCCATATTGTACTTTAGTAAACCCCAATTAGAATATTTTTGTTGGCTACTGAGTATTTCCTGAAAAACAGTGAGTAATTTGCCTTTCTGGTGAAGGTCACAGTAATGCAGAGCGCTGAAAATCTGTGATTTCTCATCTCTCTCCAAAGCTTTTCATGTTCACTAAGTTTCATTCCATGTAGATGTGTGTCCTATTTTTTCCCTGCAGTTGTCCTAGTTCATAGCTTTCACTTCTTGAATGGCTGACTCATTACTACAGAGGGTACAGAGTGTGAATGGTGCAGCAGACACACACACCTGAATTGTTTAAAAGTGGAGAAACACCAACCACTGCTGCTGCTCCTGCCTCAGATGGGCTCAATGGCACTTGAGCAATAGCAAATAAGTGCTGGGCCCTGTAACAGAGAGGCCTCTGAGGCTGAGCAGCTCTCCTGATGTTGTTGCTGCTTTTCACATGGGAGATTTTCTAAATAAACATTTAAAAGAGCTTCTTACTAGAAATTGTTTCAATCCAGCCTACTTAAGCAGGGATTGTATTCATGCTTAATTAGGCTTTCCTCTCTTTAATGCTTATAAAATAAAGCCCTTTCAAACTTTTAGTTGATGTGACCTGAAGGTGACCTGGATCTTTATAATGGTTGGCTTTTCAAGCCCGTTGATTAAACAGATGTAAAGCAGAAATCTGTGGAAAAAGACTGACTATCCTGAGCTGGAAATTTAGACTATTTGCTTGGGAAAACAGAATGTATTTCCCAATATTGTTGAGACTCTACATTTTATTATAAGAATCTCTTAACTCACCACTTTTGTTTTCCTATTTTGTCTCTGCAAAAGCCTTCTTTCCTGTTTGCTTCCTGTTTCAAAAACCAGGAATGGTGATAAAGAGCAATTGGTAAACATTTGGAGTGCTTTGCTTTGCAATTTTCACCCAGGAATGTTAACAAAATTTTGCTGAGTAGCTCTGAGTTGCTGTTGATAGTGTTTTAATAAGTGCTGGAGCACCAGGGACTAATCGTGATGAATTTTGGGGAGGAAGAAACCCAAAAAACCAAACCACCTAAATCTTGGCTCTGCCTGAAAATGGGTAAGTTCAGGACAACATTAATCCCACGCAGTGAGTGTGAAATGTTATCAGCAAAGGGTTGGAGAAATGCAGTGTGGTTGTCACTGATCCATGTGGTTATTTGGAAAATATTCCTTTTCAGAAACTCTATCCAGAGCTCTGTAGTACTAGGAAGAGATTTTAGGAAATGACAGTGTGCAACGGGGTCACACATCTTTCCCTGCTCCTGACATCCTCTTCCCAGCACCCATTTCAGCTTTTTTTGACTAATTGAAGCAGCCAGGAAATGATCCCATAGGTAAAACTGCTTTGCTTGGCTTCTTTTAAGGAGTATTTTGAGCTGCTGCAGGAATTTCAAGGCTGTGTCATGAAGTGGTTTGGCAGTACTGATAGGAAGAGCAGTGGATCTACAAACCTTACCTGTGTGGAGGGAGCCAGGGAAGCTGTTTTTGGAATGGTTTTTTGGAGGTGTGGTTTGTGTTTTAGGAGTGGTTTTGTGGAGGTGTGGTTTGTGTTTTAGGAGTGGTTTTGTGGAGGTGTGGTTTGTGTTTTAGGAATGGTTCTGTGGAGGTGTGGTTTGTGTTTTAGGAATGGTTCTGTGGAGGTGTGGTTTGTGTTTTAGGAGTGGTTCTGTGGAGGTGTGGTTTGTGCTTTAGGAGTGGTTCTGTGGCCTGTGCTGTTGGAGGCTGCTGCTGACAGTGACCTTGCTGCCCATGGGCAAACAGAGCAGCAGGTCATCTCTCTGCTGCAAGCTGAGACCTTTCTTTCCCAACCAGCAGCTGTTAGGGCTCCTTTGAAGTTGTTTGGTAAACTGAGTCATAGGAAAAATTCTGAGCTATTCATGTAGGAGTGAAAGATGCCATGGGAATTTCTACGTGAGTGTAGCTAACATAGACTCCCTGAGCCTGGTTGCTGATGCATGCCTAAAATTGTTTGCAGGAGTGAACTCTGGTAATTACTAGCTTTTTCTTTTTTCCACCCTGTTTTCCTACATTTGATGATGCTGCTAAACAGAAATGATCCTGAGTGTGCCTCTGTTTTCCTTATGCTTTCATTTATTTCCTATGGGCACAGTCTCAGTCCCACTATCAGGTTGTCTCAGAAGAAGATTGTTGTAATTCAATTTTTTTCCCTAACTAAACCAGAATTTGGCAGAGAAATAAAGGCTTTTGTGCATTTGGACTTGAAGAGTTGAAAGCTCTTCTCTGGTCCTATGGGAAGCATATATCAGTGGTGCTAATTGTAATCCCAGGACAAGCTTGTTGCCACATGAAGGCAATAGGAAGTGTCAGCTGTTCACTGGAACTCAGCATCCTGTGCTCTGCTGATTATGTGTAGCCATGGCAGATACTGGGAATGGGATTGCATTTCTTATCCTGGACTTTCTGCTATTGCTGTTCTTTGACTTTCAATCTCATTACCAGCTTTGGGGGAAAAGGCCCTCAACCAACTCAGAAGACCATTTAGGCTTTTTCCTTAGTTGTATTGACAGGGTAGTGCTGAGTTGGACAGTAATTCATTATGGTCAGTGCTGATGGAGAGCCTGTGGTGGGGACAGCTCTTCCTTACAGACAGAGCTAATGGCCGCACCTGGACTGTGTTTGCTCTTCTCTTTCCACCTGCAAACCCTGTGACATAAAAAAGAAACTTCATTGGTGCATTAGACAACAAAAGCAGATATGGATGGGATAGGAAAATGCTCAAGTAAGTGTGGGGAAAAATAGTTGTGGCCCAAATATATATATATATTTTAAATATAATCTTACTGTGAGAAGATCTGTGTCCCAAGTTGTTTATCACGGGGGTCTCCAGAAGAGCTGTGTTGACCAGAGTGGTTGTGTGCAATAAGATGCTTTGATGGCTGTTTAATGAATTTGTGTTCTGCCTCTCTTGGTGCTCAATAGAAAATGACCATCACTGGATAAGAGCAAGTGCTACAAGGGATTGAGCAATAACTCAGCTGCTTCCAAAATCCTAGAAAAGATGAATGACTGCACATGGTGAATCATCACTGGTGTGGTTTTTCAGAGGAACAGCCAATGTTCCTTTGAGACTTGATGAATAAGCAGTTGCTGCAATTTTTTGTCTGTATGTGAAGTAGCCTCTTCCCAAAATGCAGCAATGGTCACAAAACACGTAAAACCAAGTCACTGGTGAATATGGGTTTCCAGGTGTCCCATTAATTGATTTCTGTTACACAGTTTTCAAAGATAACTACACTGATTCAATGCTATCAGCTCTGTGGATTTATGTTACTAGTTATGAGGATTTGGGTTCTTGTTTTGCAGGGAGATACCAAAATTGTGATTTCAAATGGTTAAGAGGAAAGAATATCGAGGGACCATGTCAGGCTGACTTTCTGAAAATAGACACTTCAGTTCTAATTTAACAGTTATGTGTCTTGGTTTGTGGCATCTTCAGTTTGCTGTCTTTTTCTGTAACTAAATTAAATTAAACCACCGCAGTGCTCCACAGGTGTGCAAGCTCCTGGATCTCTCCTTGTCTGCTATGCTGGGAAAGCAGAGCAGAGCAACTGTTAGGGATGGTCTGAGTAAACCCAGCTCTGACCTTCCCCAAGGTGCTGGATCTGAATTTTCTGCATTTGAATGTTAGTTGTCTTATTTGAAGAAGTACCTTATAATTTAATTCAGCTCATTAGTTCTCATTTCTAATGATTTTTCCTTTTATTAGGAATACATAATCCGTGTCCAGAGAGGAGTTTCAACAGAAAACAGCTGGCAGGTAATTTCTTAAGTTGTAGTTCATGTGACCAGGATTCTTTTTTTAGGAAAAGTTTGAAAATTGCCTATTCCTAGCTTTTAAAATTTGAGCTGGAAACAGAAATGTTGATTTGAAATTGAGAACATGAAGTGCTTGAATTCTTTTGGTCAAAACTAAGAGAAAAACAGTATTGCTGCCAGCTACAGAAGGCAATGTTGTCTGCTGCTCTTCTGAATATTCCAGGAAAAATGCCTGTCATGTGTTTCTACTGTGTGTTGGTACAACCATAGTTTTAAAATCTGAAATTCCAGTTTGCCTTTTCAGTGCTAAGATCACAACTCTGCTTTTATGAGACCAATGAAACCAAGAAGTAATAATGAAGATGAGTGTGAAAAGTTTTTCCATCTAATATGGCAAAAATGCCTTTTTTGCAGACAGCTTTGCTCACAAGTACTGTTTTAAGATAATTTTTAGAAATGCATTTTCTGTCAGATCAAGTTGTGATTAAAGACCCCTTTTTGCTCTCTGGCAATGTGTCATAAATCCAGCAGTTAGGCATTTGTACAAAAAATTGCAAAAGAAGATGATCGTAAATGGGAATTAATTTTCTCTGATGGAATTTTGAGGAGTAAAATTCTAATGGAAAAAGTAATTTGTTTCCTGAACTTTGTGTTTTATTTTACAGATTGTGAGGCGATATAGTGACTTTGACTTGTTGAATAATAGCCTGCAGGTAATTTTCACTCTTCATATATGAATAAAAAATGTCATTAGAAGAATATATTCAGAATTGTGATATTTTTATATATTGTGGTGAAGAAATAAAAGAATTTGCCTAGCTGTAAAGAGAAACTGTGACTTCAAATGTAACATGAATGTGTACTTATTCACCCTTAAGTTTTCTCTTGTAAAATTTGACTTTTAACATCAACAGGATCAATTTATATAGAAATGGAAGAAGTTGGCAGATACTGAATCTTTCCCTTCAGTCCTGTGACTTGTTCCGGTTTTATGTGTTTTTATTTGTTCCTCCTTTGATTTGGAGAAAGCCAAGGCACATACCAACCTTATAAATTCAGCATTGAAGTGCTATGTGTCTCATTATTTATATTCCTCTAAAAGCACTACCAGATGCTGCTTCTCATGTGATGGTTTTCTGTGTCACTGAGGAGTGTTCCTTGGTCAGACACTGGACTTACTGTGTGTTTTCCTCTGCTTTTTAGGACAATTCTTTCTTTTTAGTTTGTGTGGGAAAAAGCAGAAGTGTGAGTGTGTTTGGGAACAGGGGGGAAGCAGCAGTGATTAACATCTACAGGGGACAAACTCATTACTTGAGATTTCCTTACTGGGCAAACAGGATAAAAAGTGAACGATATGATTTGAGGATAGATTTTTGTGACTTTAAAATTTTTCCCTTGTTAAGTGTTTCGAGAATTCAAGGGCTTAATGCTGCTTCCACTTCCTCCCTCCTCCCCAAATCAAATCAACTCTCTGCTTGATGAACCTCGTGAGCAAAACCCTGCAAGGATGTTGATTTGTGTGCTCTGAGAGCCCACTGTGACTGCTGCCTCTGCTGCAGGTGGATTGGGGCAAATCAGTCATAATTCAACAGATGCAGCCTGGCTGCCTTGTGGAATTATTCCTATTATTGCCTTGTGGAATTATTCTGTTAAATCTGCAGTAGCACGTAGGAACTTTTATCATGACCTAGAAACCTGCTCTGTGATGTGCTGAAAAAATGCAATACAGAGGTGTCTCCTGCACCAGAGACATCCAAGATCTAAAATTAGACAAACACCCATGGGAAGACAGGGAGTTGAGTTGGTACTGGTCATCAGAGTAGCTTGGGGTCATTGTGATCCAACCATAGTTTTGATAGAAATCACAGAGAAAAAATTTTGTGAAAGGTTTAAAAAGAAGGAAGAGTTCATTTTGCAGCCACCTATAACAAGCTGCTCTTAACCATGGGGGAACAGAATGTGTTAAGGCAGGAAAAGGATTTGTTGCCTTCTCATTTACCTTTCAAATGAGGCAGCTTTAGTAGAGGAGGCAATGGACTTTTAAGACTTAGAATCCAGAAATGACAGGTTCTGCAAAGTTAGGCCTCTGTGGAAAATCTATTAAGTGAAGGTAAATAGGTTATGTGTGATGGAGTTTAGAAAGGGAAAGCCTTGTTATCTGAAATATAGGTGAATGGTAAAAGTGGAGGGTCCAGGAAATGATCTGAGAGCAACTTTGCAGAGTGGGACAAAAGGGAAATTTGAAACAAGAGAAACTAAGATCCAGGACAAAAACATCAGCTGCTTGGATGACTGGAAAACATTAAAAAGAATTATCAAAATGTACCTCTAACTTTAATGGGAGGATATGAGAGGGTAGTTAAATTAGCAGGCCATGTGCTTTAGCATTTGGTCTCCTCCAGTGACTCTTTTCTCCCACTGTTTCAGAGTTTTTTACAAATTATTCTTTGTGATGGTGGAGCTGAACTTTCCTCATCCATTAAGACAACACAACACTTCTCAGATGTTTCCATCCAAAACTCTAAACAACAATATTCCATCACAGTATTCAGGTCCCGTGACATGTTTCAAAACTCTTTAAGCTCTCATCTTGTGAATATTGAAATTAGAGTAAACAAACAAAACTCAAAACAAATAAGAAGATACCAAACCCTAATCTTTTTCCTTCAAAGCTAAGGATCTGTTGGAAGAACCGATGGAACTTCTTTTGGGTGTAAAGAAGTTCTCCAAGTTCTTGTGGCATACGTGACTTCTCTGTCTGTGTGGATGTGTTTGAGCATAGCTGCAGTTGAGTTGGGATGCAAATTTTCTGTTCTTAATCTAGAACTACCTATAGTAAGAATTGATAATTTAAAAATTGTCTAGGTTAGGGAATGCTGTCCTGCCAAACAGCTTGGAAAAAAAATGAAATATAGATAGGTAACTGATTTGTATCAGAAAATTTCAAGAAAGGTTCCCTGAACTCTCAATTGTACCAGATTGAAAAGCTTCTCCCAGTCAGTTCTGCATTTCTTCCTCTTGACTTATTTGACAGAGCTCAGTGGAGATCATTCTTCTGTTTTGTCGAGTGAAGTGCTGGTACTGGAAGTACTGGAATTCACAGCAAGATATCTGGCTTTTGTGAAGCATTTTATTGCAGCCTTTGAACAGACATTCCTGAGCAGGCTGTGGTTTGAAGATAAGAATGTTAATTCCCAGGTTCTTCCCATCCTGGCTCCAGTGGTGAGCTGAGAAGTGGTGTCTGAAGGCTTGTGAGGTCTTTGCAAGGTCAGGCCCTCAGTGAGGTGCTCCTCTGTGCTCGAGTGCTCTTGCTGTGCTGTGCTGTGTGTTTTGGCAGATAGCTGCAAAAACCTGGGCCTGAATGTTACTTTGTGTTGAAAAATAGTAGAAGTCTGATTTATAAATTTTAAAACAAATTATAGTGGTTGGAAAACATGTGAATTAGAGTCGGTTTCTCTCTGATGGTAGCTAGCTGTCAGGTCTAGGTAAAGGTGATGATTTTGCATGCATTTTAAGTGAATGATTCTAGAAAAGGACTCAGTTTTTGTTTAGAAACTCAGTTTTTAATTGAAAGGAGTGGTCTGCCAAAAGAGAGTTCTGTTTGCCTCTGGTGCTAAAACTAATTTGGTGAATTACTGGCTGTAAGTGATATATGGTTGCTTTTAGTTTTTTCCTGGTTTTTATTAATAGTTTCTGTAATTCAGACATAGTTATAGTTCTTTTCCAGTCCATAATTTGAAGTCAGAAAACGAGAAGTAGGAGAAGTGCTAAAGTTATCAGAGGACAACTCCTGTGTTCAAATGAAGGAGGTGGAAAGGAAGGGGGATGCTCCTTCTGCCCCAATTTGTTGAGCTAATCTGTTACTTTTTCCACTAGTTAAAATGAAAGTTGTTCAAACACCAGAAGTCCCAGTCTTCTCCCTGGTGAACTGTTTGCTTTAGAAATGAGGTTATTGCATCTGGTGTAATTGATTCCTGCAACACACAATTCTTAGAGATAACTCCCAGGGAGATTCAGCTTACCCAAGGCAGGTGCTTTGATCTGAAGGACAACGATGTGTTAACAGCACAGAAAAGGTATTCTGGCAATTCACATGACGTAATTGAATCTAAACACTGAAGATCATCTCTTTGATCTGAGTTACACAAGGCTTTGAATTTTTTTTCTTTGTCCTATTTTGAAGGATTTCTCTGATTTTTTCCCTTAAGTTTTGGATCTCTTGTGTCAGTATAATACAATTAGTGTACATCCCCTGGTAGATTGCAGCTATTTCTGGGTTGAAGGATGTATAGATGTTTAAAAAATGTACAGGAACAAATTCAGAAGATAAAAAGAAAATCTGCTCTGTATTTGAAATTACATATTTAAAATACTAGTAGGGCTTAACATTACCTACAGATACATAGAGGCAGATGGAAGTTACTAATCTGCACTTGATGAAATAAGGAAGCATAAATCTTACCCAGAAAAAATGATCAGGTGTGAATTGTTTTTGTGCTCTGCTAGAAGTACATCATGAAAAGAACCTGGCTGAAAATTGTAGCTATTTAATATCTGAAAGTTTTGGGTAGTGATCTTACATGTATGACTCACTAGCAAAATTTTGTCTCCTTGTATTTTCAGTGTTGTTCCATTTACTAATCTCTTCACAGTGGGATGTGAGCTGTCATCTGACTCTGATAACAGTGCTTAGGAAAAATAGAAAAGCTTGTACATACACAGTACAAAGAGAGTTATCCAGTAGTTATCTTGCTGCTGAGAAACTTTTGCTTTCTTGATTGCTAGTTTTATATCCTTTATTTTGAGAGCAAGGTTAGTAATTTTTGCTCTCTTTTTAAGATCTCAACTCTAAGTCTACCTCTTCCTCCAAAAAAGTTGATTGGAAATATGGAGCGTGAATTCATTGCTGAAAGACAGAAGGGCCTCCAGGCCTACCTGGATGTAATTACCACCCATCACATACTGTCCAACTGTGAACTGGTAAAGAAATTCTTGGACCCAAACAGCTATTCTGTAAATTACACTGGTAAGTAGAAAATAAAAATCTGTGCTTCACTTTGACTTCAGTGGGTGCTGTGTATCTTGTGTGAATGCTGGCCAGCATCTACACTGAAGCATGGGGGGAACAATATTCAAAATTATCCTACTGTGCGTGTGATAATTTATGATAAGGCTTCTCCAGCTCTGTGCATGGATCCTGCTGGGATTGTCAAATATAAATATTTGAGTTATTTCACAGAGGAGTGAAGAGGGTCAAGATCTGTTTAAGCAGAACTTGGAGGAGGGAGGTTCGTGAGAATGACATCTACTTTTCATAATTCATAATAAATGAAAAGAGATGCTTTTGGGAGATAATTTTTCTGTCAGAGTGTAAGGTGGAAATAAGTTTGTTAGCTTAGTGTTCTGTTAAAACTGCCCATTTTCTGAACACTGAATCTTTCAAGAATTGTGGTTATCTTGTCCAGCTCCTGCCCTTGGTTTGGGTATGAGCTAATTTAGAACTAATTGTTTGAGCTAGGTTGAGTACTTTTTCAAGGCTAGACTAAGCCAGATACCCTCTTCCCACAGATCCTGGAAAGTCAATACATTCCTTAAAATGATGTCCCAGTGATCAGTTTCTTCATTACTAACTGTTTCTTCTTTGAATTTGTCTTACTTCAGCTTCAGCCATTGGATATCAATAAATATTTGTCTTACAGACTGAAAAAACTTCCTCTTAGTGATGAAACCCACTCCACAAATTTAGTTCATAGGCAAACCAACTCTTTGCAAAATGCAAAGCTTGTTTTCTTAGAAGCAGAGCCTACTGAAGCAGGAACTCACTGCTTCCTTTTCACTTGTCTATTTTCTCTCTCTTTGTGTAACATTCTTGTGTCTTCAGCTTCAAAGTGTAAAGAACATTTCCCAATATGATTAGCTGTGCAAGAGTTGTAAATTATTAGTGACTCTTTAAGGATGCAGTTTGTCTGGCTAATGCTGAGCAAGCTGTTTAAATTCTCAAGGAGGTGTTGTGATTTCTGTGTTAATTTTGAGCACTTTCATCAAGATTGTTTTTTCCTGCAAGTTGTTGGGAAGCTGGTGACACACATCATTGCCTATGGTCTTTAGAGACACCATCAGTTTTTAATTTCTTAAATACTGGAGCAGAGAGATGATATTTATTACACTTTTTTTCTAGCATATTTCTAAAGGAAGAAGATACCATGCAGAGAGATCATCACATCCTTACCTTTTTGCTGTGTTCCTATGCCATGATTCCCTTGGCATGATTCCTTTCCTCTCCCCCACTTCTCCCTGAGATTTCCCCTCAAGTCACTTCATGAATAAACCAGTTGTGTTCCCAGCTGTGGGAGAATTCACTAACCAGATGGGTGTCCTCCCCCTTGGCCCCCAAAATGGATGGAGACTCATGATAGCTGGCCAAATACCTCTGCCTGCACAGAAAAGGGCACAATAACCTTCAGTGAAACACAACTAATGAGTTTACATAAACTATGCTTAGCAACGTAGATGGATGTCAAAGAGATAAAAGCACTTTTACAGATGCAGCAGAAACATTTGATGTTCTAATGTTGTGTACGCCTAGTGTGGGAAATCTGAGCTGTGATTTAGACTTGGAAATGTAGATCCAGTACAGATAGAATGGAGATTGGGAAGCCAAGTTTTCCAAGCAGTGCTTTCTCTGTTTTCTCTCTGGATTTGAGTTATCAGGTTAAAAATGCAAATGCCCTCTGTGTGTTTATCTGATTTCCTTTCAAATTGATTTTGCTGACTTTTAGTCTAAATTCCTGAAGGCTTTCTTCTGGCATTGGACCTTACCTCATATGTGGATAATTACATTATACAGTCTTAAATACATTAAATTTTTTTCTTATTTTTCTCCCTCTCTGTCTCCTGTTTTTCTTTCCAGAAATTGCCTTACAGCATGTTTCAATGTTCTTCCGATCAGAGCCAAAGTGGGAAGTAGTTGAACCATTAAAAGATATAGGTAAGAAGGGATGTGTCATGAAAACTTCTCTGATTGTTTCCCCAACTATGAGAGGTTCCAATGCTGTCTTTGCTTACAGACCTTGTCCTGCCTGTAAGCTGTGTGATTTAGCAGTGTTTAATTAAAGCCCCTGCTGACTTTTTTCTTTACTTTTTTTGTAGGTTGGCGAATACGTAAGAAATATTTCCTAATGAAAATTAAGAATCAACCAAAGGAACGGCTAGTGTTAAGCTGGGTATCTATGCTTTAATTTCATTCTTAAGTCTTTCTCAATTTCACTCAAAATTTGATTTTGGCTACATGTTTGAGTGATGGGGAGAGAGATTGAAGAGCTCAGGCTTTGAAGGAGCCCTTAGGTAGATGTGTGGTGTGGAATTTCCTGTATTTCTTTCCTCTGGTGGCAAATCCAGTTTGGAAGTTTCTGTGCCTGGTCACTTGTTCCCAAACCTGCACCTCAGGATTCTTTACTTGTCATGATGTGGCTGTTGGTCATAATATAAATGTGCTCACTAAAAAGTAATGAGATGAACTTTTTAAAGTCATGGGTTTTCCTACTCAGACCTTTAGTTGTACTGACAAACTAATAGGTGAGGAGGGCGTGAATTGCTCCCTTAATGACAGCTGCTCTTGCTCCTGTGCTGAATGTGCTGCCCTGTTGGTTGTATGAGCCCAGCTGTTTGTGACACTTCACTGGAGCGTGGAGGTCACCAAAGCCTGGAGGCTCTAGTGGGAGGAGGGAAGCTTTTCTTGCTGCAGAGGAAGAAGGTGCCTTATCAGTTCCTAATGTACACAGTCCCCCAGTTTAGGGTTGGCAAAGTTCATTCAGTGGTAGTAATGCATGTCAGGTCTGTGGGAGGAAAGAGGCAGTAATACTAATTTATGGTCAGGATGTTTGTATGGCCTTACTCAGCCTCCTCAGGTTTCATTTTGTATGTGTAATTTTCTTGCTTGCTCTTCAAAATATGCCTTCAAACTTGTGTCCTGATTTGCCAGGGTAGAACATTGATCACATTTTCTGTATGGGATGCACCATGTATTATGATGCCATTCTTTTCCTGTTTACTTCCAGGCTGATCTTGGCCCTGATAAATACTTGTCTGACAGAGACTTACAGTATGCTGTGAAACTTCTTTCTTCCTGTTCTGTGAGTACTGAAGATTTTTAAATTGTGCTAGCCTGAAAGTTTGTGTCAAGGACTGATCTTGGAAAAGCACATATAGCCTAGTTGGCATAGTTTGTAATTTTAGAGTTGCTTTTATTAAAGGATTGCAAACCCTTTAATTGCATTTCTCATATACTATGAGGTAACGTTCTCAGCACAAGTAATAATCCTGCAGGATTATTACAGGAGATTCAGTGTTGTGGTTGATTTGGTTTCTTTCTTCTTGTGCAGTGCTGTGAGATCATGAGTTTTTATTTAATCTCCTCAACACCTTCAGGCTGTTAGGATAGTGCTGTGAGGTGTAATTGCTAACCTGTGAGCTGGGATATTCTCAGGCAGCAGTGGATGAGGCAGTAGAACAAGTATCATTATTTTTTCAGTTCTTTGGACTCAAGGTGGGAGCATCTTAGTAGAGCTGCAGTGGAGGGTGTACAATTTAAGCTCCTGTGAAATGCCACATTTTAAATCCAGCAGACATCTCTGCCTGAAAAACTGGCATTTGACTACAAAAGGAGTCTCTGGAGTCTCTCGTTAGGGATGTTAAGCATGTGAAAGACTGGCTGAATTTTTTTTGTTGTTTTTAATTTATATGTTAATTGAATAATGTCTTTGTGAAGTTTTCTTAGCATTTACTCCAGGTTAAGACTGAATAACTTGAGTTATTCCATGCCACTGACAGAATCCAATTTGCTACTTTAAATAGACAATTCAGACTGATCTTTTCTTATGAATTGAACACAAATGATTTAAAAAAAATCCATCATCTAAAATTTACCTTCAGTTTCTTCTTTTGGTAGCATCCCTATATTTACAAAATCACTTTTGCCACTGCCAACGAATCTTCAGCGCTGGTTATTAGACCATTCAGTGAAAAAGGGACACTAAAGGACCTTATTTATAAGGTAACATCTTCCCCCTACCCCCAAGTCAAATGGCACAACTTATGCTGGAATGACCATAATGTTTTTTATAAAGTGTTTGCCATCAATTACTAAGCAAGCTAAGACAAGTAATAACTTTTTTGGGTGTGGTACTTGATTTGTGTGTTTCTTTTAAAGGCAAAGCCAAAAGACCCATTCCTGAAGAAGTATTGCAATCCTAAAAAAATTCAAGGTCTTGAACTTCAGCAAATAAAAACATATGGAAGGCAAATATTAGAGGTAATTTGTTTTTCTTTATTTACCAGCTTTTTTGATTTATTAATTTGGAGTCCAGCTGGTCTAACTACAGAAAATGGACAAATTTCTGAGTATACAAGCTTTATATAAGTGGACTTAAAGCTAAATGTAAATTGATATTTGCTGAGTTGAATTTAGATATATTTGTGTGAGACCATTTATGACCCCCTCCAAAAAATACAGTTGGTATGTGTGGAGCTTAAATGGAAGAGAGGTGATAATACTGTCTGTTCCTTGTGTAAAAAGGGAAAGAAGTAACTCAAAGCCTGCAGAACATGTACAGTAAATTCATAGTTGTTAGTGTGTTTTTATTTTTTTTGAACTCAAACTGTCATATTCAGTAGAATTTTAAATTTTAGTTTCCAGATCTCTTTGGGAGGTGTCCATAAGCCTGCTTTGAGGATCAGCATCAAATATTTGTTTTGTGAAAAGTGCTACCAGTGAAATGGGAATGAATAGTCAGCCAAAGAGGATGTAGATAGAAGATCAAGTTGAGTGAGCATTCCAAATGAGGGCCTTATTTATTATGTATTTAGTATTGGAGCATTTAAGTTGATGATTTTACAATCTTGAGATCATCAGAGCATCTTGTGATAGTCTTCTCTATTCCATTTTTTTCAGGTATTAAAATTCCTCCATGAGAAAGGATTTCCTTATGGCCATCTTCACTCTGCCAATGTGATGCTGGATGGGGATACCTGCAAGTTACTGGATCTAGAAAATTCCTTGTTGGGACTCCCATCGTTTTATCGATCCTACTTTTCCCAGTTTCGGAAAATTAATGTAAGGCTCAGACAAGGAATTCATCTGACTCTTATGCAAATCTTTGTTCTCAACCTTTGTTTGTGGAGAACTGAGTAGAATGAAAAATCCTCTCTCAAGCCCCTTTTTTTTAATCTGAGCTTTGCTCCATCAAATTGCTTTTCTGCTTCCCCCAAATCCCTGTCTGGCTGCACCGCAGCTCTGTTGCAGCACACTGGAGTGAGGCTGAGGCCAAAGGTGGGCAGGTAGAGGGGGAGTGCAGGTGAATGTTTTTATGAAAACAGTGCCAGCACATGTAGAGGTGAAGTGCAATTGTTTTAAGATCTCTTTTCACCCTGGTTTGTATTTCATAGGAATTTGCATATTGTCTACTACAGTTTCACTTCTGTGTCTGTACATTGAGCACAGCTATTTACTTGTGGTTAGCTGGGAGCAGTAATCAGCCTTATCTTTGGTGGAGACTGTGAAAATTGATCAGATGCTTGCAGATTCTAACTATCCAAATAGAAAAGGTTATTTTTATTTGTTTGAGGGGTGTCTGTTTGACTGCAGGCTTGCAAAGCAAAATATTTATCTAACTGCAAAAATATGAAAACAAATTTGTCCTGTTGCAGCAACATCATTCCCTGCCTTTAGGCTCTCATTGTAGTAAATTCTGTGCAGCATCACGAGAGAGCTGCTTGCTGACCTTGCTAAACAAGTTCTACTGTGTTGTCAAAGAAATGGTCACAAGTTCATGGTTAGTCCAAATCTGTTAGTGCCATCAAAGCCTCTTACAGTAAGAGGAACCTCTTCTTTTTAAACATGATTCAGAAATCCTGGAAATATGCTGTCTGGGAGCTCAGCATGTATGTACAGCTTGCACAAACCTAAGGAGGAGCAACAGAGACTCTCCTGGGTTTGTTTGGTATGCATTTTTTTCCCATCTTTTTATCTACTTCCCTGTAAAGTGACAGCTGGTTGTTTTATGAATCTCATTCTTTGCTGTTTGACTTAGCCAGGAAAGTGTGCTTGGTTGGGACTTCTTGGGTGTGTAGATCTCTAAAGTGCTTTGTGAAGAGTTTACTGCTTCACACCTTCTTACAGAACATGGCTACACTGCTCTCCCATTTGTACCATCTTGTACAGAAAGGCAACAGAGGCTGCTGTAGCTTGTGGCATGAAGATTTCATCTGAGCTACAGTTATGCAGGGAAATGGTTGTGGTTAGGAGCTGCCTTACTGGTTCCTCTTTTCTGTCTTCACATGCCAGATCACTGGGTTAACCAGTTGTGAAAAACTAACGAGTTGTGGTTTCATTTTTTTGCTCTCCCACAGACTTTAGAGGGTGTTGATGTTCATTGCTTTGGACACTTACTGTATGAAATGACCTATGGAAGACCTCCAGACACCATTCCAGTGGAGAGCTTCCCCCCTGCTCCATCAGTGTTTGTTGGTTAGTATGCAGTGCAGAACATCTCAGTCACAGCTGCCTGGGTGCACTCTTAGATTTTACCTAAGCTGAAGGGCTGTGAAATAGCAGCCTGAGATCTTTGCACCCTGTGCCCAGAAAGAATTAGCAATTTGGTCAAATAGAAAATGTGTTCTTCATCAAATATATCTAGTGCATGAGTAAAACTTTTTTAGCTGAGTGACAAAGCAGTGTTTAGCAAGTAATGAGATGCCTGGGTTCCCTTGCCTCATGTCTAACATTCTTGAAAAGCTTCTATGTGTAATAGTAATGCTATAATAAAAACCACATGCCACAGAGCTTCATCACTGCTTGCTTGATGCAATACTTAGGGGAGCATCACAAGCCGTGCCAAACGTCCATTCTAAATCATTTGCTGTCCTGCTGTGCAAAAATGTGTTCATTCTTGTTCTTTCTTTGGCAGTGTCAGTGTTGGAGTCCATTCTGACTTGTGAAGCTCTGAAGAATGGGATGCCAACTGTCTCACGGCTCTTACAGATGCCGTAAGTCCTGCTCGACTTGTTTTATACTCATAGAAGTGTTTTTAATTATTTCAGGAGGAAGAAACTTTCTGCTCTTGTTCCTCTTTAGAAAGGTTTGCTCCTTCCTCTGAGGGATGTATCCCAAGTGAAGCTTGATAGACTTTATAGAGCCCACCCCTTGTTAATATGTGTGTTTAACATTTCTTTGTCTCTCGGTGTGTTGGAGCTGTTACTTATGCACTTTATTTAGCATGGTTTGAATTAATCCAGCCACTAAAGTAATGCAGGCATGATTGAGATCATGTACAGATTGATTTAAATGATTTAGAATAAGGAGTCTTTTTGCATGTTGCCTTCAGGCCTACTTCAGAAGGTTCTGCTGTCAGTTCACTTAGCACTGGTGAAATATGTCTCTTGCTTTGCTCGGCAGTGACATTTAGAGCTGCTCTGGGTCTGAAATGTAGAATGGATTTCTCTCTGGTTTCTTGCAGGGCTGGCTTGGGGATTCTCTGAAGCATAGACAGAATAAATGTCCTTACAGGCTGCCTTTCAGTGATGCAGTGCAGGGGGGCAAGGCCAGGATGCAGAAAGGGAGCGCTGTCATTGTGCCACTGAGTGGGGACCACACCAGCCTGCAGTGCCACCCTGCCTGCACTTAGGGCACAGCATTCCAGGGAAATTGCTGTCCCCATACTGGGACATGCCAGCAGCATGCTCAGCATGGAACCACAGTTCTGGTGGGAGGTTCTTTTGTTATTTCTCAGTGTGAAATGCTGTAGCTGGGGCAGATTGTCCATACCTAAATGTGGGTCTGCTGTCACAGCACAGATTGCAGTGCATTGGGAGCCTGCTCTGAGGTTCAGATTCCTTGCTTGGGAAGAGTCACTGCAGCCTTCAATTCCTTCTTCCTCTCCCCTCCTCTGCTTTTTATGGTGTGAGGTGGAGAGAACAATGCAAGCAGGGTAGAAAAACTATAGGAAAGCTCTGTGAATAGAGAAATATTCAGATGTTTAAAGATGTTGAATAAACAATCTATGCCCAGCTGCATTTGATATGGAAGATGTTAGACTACATTCCCTTCATACCAATACTCTTTACAAAAGTCTTCTACATAGATATGCAATGCAATTAATGTAATTTAAAGCAATTAATATAATTGAAATATATATTTATTATAACCATAAAAACATGTAATCTGAAAGGGTCAGAAAGTCCTGTAAACAAGGATGAACTTTCATGGATTTTTGAAGTACTTCAAAATTTGCTTTATTTCTAAGTTTTTCATTCTCCTGAATTAACTTGATTCTAGATGTGAATTCATTTTCTCTACCATAAGCCTGTGATAATTTTCCATAGTGAACAGCAACTCAGAAATATTTATTTTGGAGCCAGGATTGAGGTCTCTCTGTGACAATTTTCTACTATGTTCTCCAGGACAGAGTATCTTGAAATGGGCTAACCAGTTTATTTTCAGACTACCATTGCCCTCTAGTGTCTTTGTTTTGGATGGAAAAGGATTAATCATTTATTGTGTTTCTGCTGATACCATAGAGGGGAGAGAAAATATTACAATATTTGCTTTAATTGCCTTTTGTAGAGGACAGGCAAGAATTCAGATATTTCAAATGTTAAGTTCACTTGATCTTTCACATGTTCCTTGTTAATTCTAAGACAAGGGTTTGCTAAGAGAAGTTTTTTTTTTAACAAGAGCTATGATTTTGTTTTGGTGAAATTTAAAATAAAGTCCATGGATTTTTTTTTTTAATAAAAAAATCTATATTCTTTTAAGGAAAAGGTATTCTCTTTTGGGGGGAACCTTTCTCTGCCTTTGATAGCTGTACCTGTTCTATCCACTTTTAGAATAGCTCACACAAACCAGTTTTCTCAGCCATAAGTAGTGGCTACATTCTGAGGATTGGGTGCTGCTAATCTTACAGCAATGCTTAGAAAATAAGAAGCAGTACCTAGAAATCTGTGACCAAGGGTTGAGGACAGAGAATCAAAAGGAGAAAGAGGGGTTAAAGTGGACAGTACAAATAGAATTCTTGTTCTGGCTTTGCCTGTCTCTTGGGAATAATATTCCTCTTTTTTATTTTTTTTATCAACTCACAGATTATTCAGTGATGTCCTGCTAACAAACTCTGAGAAGCCACAGTTTAAGGTAGAGTTGACACTGATTTGCTGATGTTTGTGGAAGTGCCAGGATGTGGGTTGCTGCATATTAATTGACAGAGGGGGCTGAGGAGATCTGGCTTGATTTGCCTCTGTGGCTGCTGCCATCAGTGTTTGGATTCCTTTGCCACCCTATGAGAATGTTGTGCCACCCCTTGGATGTGACCCAGGGATGTTCAGGGGCAGCTGCTGAGCTGGAGCCCCTTTGTGGGGCTGGTGGTGATGCTCTGTCTGAGCAGAGGGTCTGGGCCTGCAGGTCCCTTGCAGTGAGAGGAGATGCCATGTCAGCCATGGCCAGCCCCTGTGAGAGCTAATTCTGCTAATTCTGAGCCCTTCAGCCCCTTGCTGCCAGCTCCAGCACTCAGGGACCACTTCTGGTCCCACTGGGGAGCTGCCCCAGGGGCTTCTCCTGGGGGTTTGTGCCCTGTGTCTTGTGTTGTCAGCCTCAGAGAAATTTGGAGATGTGACTGCAGCCTCAAAGTAGTTATCTGTCCTTGCTTTTAGAGTATCACTGCCAGGGTTTGGTGTTTCTTTGTCCCTGCTGATCTGTACCTAGATTTGAGTAGAAAAACATTCATCTAGAGTCTTCTTTTCTGCTTCACTAAAGGAGTGGTGTCACATCTTGGGGCTTTAGATGAGAAATGTCATTGGATGGTGGGTTTTGATCAGTGAAGTTGTGCTTTCCTTTATCACATTTTGTGCTATGATTTTGTTCCCCATTCTGTACTAGATTCCTACTAAGCTAAAAGAGGCATTGAAAATCTCCAAGGAATGCATAGAAAAGCGATTAACAGAGGAACAGAAATTGGTAATGTCTACATTTCCTTATTTCCTACAGACATTTAATTTCCTCTAATCATTTTTACGTGCAGAAAGTGAGTTTCACTCAAAAGTGATTTTGAATAATAAATATTTTCACCAGCAGATTTGCTTTCCCAAAAATGCAATATCAGGAGGTGTATAACAGCTGTTGACTGTATGGCATTTCACTGTTTTAAGAGTTGCAGTTTCACAGGTAGTGGCTCCCAAGTTAGAGGATCATTTTAACTTCAGTACAAGTCTCCATCCTCTACCAGAAACAGTAAAGGAAAAACTAGAAATGAAAAAGGGAATCCAAACATTCACAAAGTGACTACAATGTGTTTTCTTGTAGCTCAAACGTTGTTTTCAAACATTTGAGATCTTACTATGGTCTTTTATTGTTTTTTCTTTAATTTTGCAGATTCACCAGCACAGAAGGCTGACAAGAGCTCAATCTCATCATGGCTCTGAAGAAGAAAAAAAGAAAAGGAAGATCTTGGCACGAAAAGTAAGCAATCTTTAAATATGTTTCTCCCACAGAAAAAGATGTGTTTGTTTTTGTAATGTTTACCATGCACAGGTTTATCCATATGTACATGACTCTAGTCCTTCCTGTGTTTTTCTGCACTACTTCCTGGTTGTTTTCACTTCTTTAGCTAAGGAATAGATTTACTAAAAAGTTTAAATTACAGTGGTAGCTGACTTGCACATTGGTGCAGCCTGTTTGGTGTTGCTGAACCAACCTGTCTTGGTTAGCAGCTCAGACCCAGAGGAGCTGCTGTGCCCTGGGGAGGGGTTGGGGCCTGCAGCACTGTCTGTTCCTCCTCTTTCCTGGGAGGGGTGTGTGTGCCCGTTTCCTTCCTTTCCCTTGTGGTCGGAGGGCTCTGCAGCTCCCTGGGCCTGGCTGGAGATGTTTGGGCTCGGAGCAGCCTTGCAGCTCCTGTAACCACATCAGGGTGTGCTGGCTGTGGGGAGGGGATGCTGAGCACTGAAAGGCATTGTGTGAGACCATGGGGGGCTGTTACAGATCTGTGTGTCAGTTCAGTCCTTACCTTTCATAGGAAGTGATTATTCATTCCTATCTTCCATTTCCTCTGCTCCCTTTTATAGAAGTCAAAACGTTCTGCCAATGAAAGTGGGGAAGAACACTCAGCCAAATACAGCAACTCAAATAACTCAGGTAACTACAGAGAGGGGGATTTGCTTCTGCACAGCTGTGTCAGGTTTTCTGTTATTCCTGTCATCTTTTGTCTGAAAGATTTGGGATTACCAACCCTTTACAAAGTCTGGTACCACTGTTTTGGGTATTTAATAATAAATAAATGGAGGGCTTAAAAATATTCTTGATGTTATATTTTCAGTTGACAAATTTAAAGTAATGTCTCCTCTCTTCTGTGACCCATTCCTCAAAAAATTGATCAGTCTCTTCATTCTGTTTGATATTTGAGTTAAATAACAACATCATCCATTACTTGGACCATCAAATAATGCAATCTTCAGGGAGACTCTCTGGTGATCTGTGTTACATAGTAAGGTGTTAAGATGAATGAGAAAATTATGTGCTAAATTGCTGCTTCAGTGCCAAATTTTAAAACAACAGAGCCTTTGACAAATTTTCATTTAGTTAAAAGATGTGGTTGGTACTATGGATCAAACACATTGCCAGAGTTGATTTGCTTGGCTAAAATGTGTCCAAAAGCAGCTTGTTGTGGAGTACAGCACTGACTGAAAATCCTCTCTTAGGGGAGATGGGGTGCCACCCATGCATTGGCACAGCTCTTAGGGTGAACAGAATTTGTGTGCTGTACCCAACAGCCTGAGCAGCAGAAATGTTCCCACTGAGAAATGCTGGCTGCATTTCCTATGCCTTTGGGGCTTCTCTCATACTCTGCACTGTAGAGCCACTGTTGCTATGAGTGGGTGCATTTCCCAAGGTGTGGAAGCAGGACTGGATTTTCAGTCGATAAACTTGGCCTGCTCCCAGCACGCTCCCTTGTCTGTGTTGAGCTGCCATGCCACAGCTGTGGTTACCTGACTGTTGTTTTATTCAGCAGGCTCTGGGGCCAGTTCTCCTTTAACATCTCCATCATCCCCCACTCCGCCCTCCACAGCAGGTATGTTCAACAATCGTTACAGTTTTTATCTTTTTTATGTTGTTTTTTACTTCCCTCTGCCCTCAGTGGTGTTATTCCCAAGGATGATCAGGAAGTGATGGTTTTCAAGGATGGAACATGGAGATGTCAGTTACCTTGTGGCAGCCTGAGTGTGGGCTTGTGCTCTCTTTTGAGGGTCACAGAGAACCTTTTTGTAACTATAACCTTTCTGAGATACACATGATATGATTTACCCAGGGTGGACCTGCTTGCTTTCAAGTCTGTGTTACTCCAGGCCTACCCACATTGCAAATTTCCAGGCATTTTCTGGGCCTCATGGTGCAGCATGCATTTGTTCTGGTGTTAATGGTCTGCTGACTCTGAAATACTGCTCGTTCATCCCTTGTTTCTTTGTTCTTTTTGTTCCTGTACTGCTGTGATTTATTTTCAGGAATTTTAGGTGTGACAGATTCGGTGGCTTAAGCTTCATAAATCTCCTCAGTTCTGCTACACTCCATTGATAACCCAGTAGAGTTTGTAGAAACAAATCTAGAAACAGGACTGATTTGGGTTAAAAATAGTATCTTTATTATTTTTGGACAGTTCTGTTTTTCAGTTTGCACTTTCTGTGCAGAGAGTTTTGCTAATGTTTTAGACAGGGGTGGGAAGTGGTGAAGAATCTGCTTGAGTGGGCAATAGAAATGCTCTGAAAGTTTAATTACAAATCTGAATATTGAGCAGTAGTGGATATGCTTCAATCTGAATGTCTGGAAGAGGAGCACTGGCCAATATTAATAACAAAAGATGTTAACAGAATGCATTTCCAGAGGGGAAGTCACCATTTTTTATGGTGACTCTTGCCATAGGATTTCTAGTCCCAGGAACTTTCTCCACAGCACAACTCATTAACCAAAGCAATGCAATCAAATTTGTCTTTGCTGTGGATAGTCTTTCAAAGGACACTGCAGTCTGTGTGATGTAATTCAAATCAGTCATGCTGAAACTCAAATTAGTAATTTCTCCTTCAAGCTGAGGGCATGGGAAGTGTGTATTGTAGGAACTAACTTTCCCAGTCAGCCTAAGCAAGATAATGGCTGTTACTGTGTTGCACAGTAACACTGCTATTGCACTGACTGTGATCTGGAGAATTTGTTGCCAGCTCTGCCAGGGCTTCCATAAGGAAGTAGCTGAAATGTGGCTCCAAAATGGACAGATATTTAGAAAGCATTTTTCCCCTATGAAACTACTCTTTAGTTATGTTCTGACTCAGACTTGCTGGAACTTGGTTGAAAGCTTTCTCAAGTTTTAAGTATGAGATGCAGGTTTATGTGCAGATATGGGTCAAAATAGCTCAGGTTTGTGCTCAAAACTTGTCTCAGTTCAAGGCATATTGTCACAGTGTGTTTGTTGGTCATCTTGTGCCAGTGTGCTCCTGGTGACTCATGGGGGTCCCCCCTGTGTGACAAGGTGCTGGTGGCCCTGCCTGTCCTCACACTGGGGCTTGCTTTAGTGAGCTGATGGCTGGCTGCTGTTTATGAGGTGCAAAGCCAAGTATCACATTTTCAGGAATGCTTTTGTGAGCAGAATTCATAGAAGAAGTTTCAGATATTAATTCTGAGAGAAAACTAGATTTTTTTTCACCAGCAGTGTTGAGGTTTTAGCTGTTCTGGGCAAGTCTGCTTTTGCTGCCTTGAGGAGAGACACACTGGTCCCATGGTAGGCCTCTGTTTGTGACAAGTGATGCATCTGCAGCTTGCATTTCTCTCTTCTGATTTCCTTGTATTACTAAGGATATTTACCTCTGTACCAAAACTGCTCGTGGGTGTCAGTGTGGTGAGATGATTCTCAAAAAGGCATTGAGGCTTTCAGTCTGTCTGTCTGGTTTGGAATGGCTGTGTTAGAACTGGGGTCTCTCAGAGCATCCTGCTGATACAATACCATGACAGAACTCAGGCTGGTGAGGAAAAGTGCCCTCAAGAGAAGCTTTGCTCCCATCCTGGCCTGTAACTGTTCATGCAGAGTATGGTGTGTGAAGAGAGAGGCACTGACCAGAGGGGAAGGCTCCAGGCTGGCCTGCCCTGGGGAAGGAACCCTGGGGAAGGAACCTCCTGCAGGGGTTTCTCACATGTTGAGAGGTTCTTTGTCTCTGAACAAAGGCTTTGTGAGGCTTGGCTTGCAGCAGAGAGCTTGGGAGAGTGGATGGAAACCAGGAATAAAACCATGGTTGGGTTCTGCTGTGTGATGGCAGCTGCAGGACTGAGAGCATGAGGGGAAAGGTGCCCCTGGAGATTTGGCAGTTCTCACTGGTGAGAATGTTCTGGGCTGGTGGTGCTGCAGGTACTTGGCTAAAGAACATTTGAAATACATAGTTAGATCATGCAAGTGACTCTAATGTAACATCCTGTGTTTCTGACATTCTCCTGGTGTGGTTCTTTCCCCCCCCCAATTCTTTGCTCCTGCTGTGAAAATCTGTTCATTTTCTTTGTGGCTGTGAGCAGTGGCTAGGATCAGAAGGGAGCAGAACAGTGTGGTATGGGCTATTTAAAATTTCACTGAATATTTTCTAAATCAAATAAGCCCATAAGATACAGCAAGATCTCTTTCAAAAGAGACAAATTTGGAGGGTGTCACTTTTGCTTCTCTGGACTTCCCTGCAGGAATAGTGAAAGAATTGTATTTAACAATCTTTTTCTTTGCCAGTTGTTCTGAATCCTTCAGTATGACTTGTGTTTCATTGGCACCCTTATGGTGCATCTTTCCTGCCCCTCACTTCCTGTAAAACAGGTGGAAAGCTTTAGGAAATGCTTTTCCTGGGTGTCTCTGACCACAGGTGTGAATACAGGTGTTGGTACAGCAGGAAGTGTTTCTTGAACTGAATGGATTTTGTCTTCTGTGGCCAATCTTCCTGCAGATTTCTTTCTAAATCTCTCTAAATGCACTTTAATCCTGTGGAATTTGAATTATGGCATGTGCAACTGAAAGCATGGATGTTGTATTTGTTATCAAGTATAATAATGCCTAGAGCATGGAAAATTGTTGTTCATTTTTCAGAATTGAGTGAAGTATTGTAAATGTAATATGAAATAGTCAATCTGCTGTCCTCATATTTGTCAGTGAGTAAGAATGTTTTGATTTCTGTACTAACTTTTCAGCTAACAGTGTCTGTTTTTCTTACTTTGACACGAGAACTGGATGATTAACTTGTGTCCTCTCTCTTTCTCTGCTGTCTTCAATAGAGCATGCATCATTTTGAACGTGAATTTTCGGAAAAGTAAGCTAATGCTGATTTATCTCTTTAAAGATGCTCTGTTTCTCAATGGGAAAGTTGGATGCAAATCTTCAAGTTGCTTAGTATTGGGAGGGAATAGAAGAAAAAAAATCTGAATGTTCTTACAGATTATTTTAATGAAATACAGCATCTTTAAAAACTATCACTAAAATTATTTTCTTTGTTCACATCCCATTCTCAGCCAAGTTTTTAATGCTGTTTGCACAATTGCTGTCACTTTAAATTCATAATTAAGTTTTTGTTTCAATTCAGGCATCAAGTTTACAGCATCTGATTTACTTCCTATTCCTTTTAACACACTCTTTTAACAAAAATGTCCCTGTAAAAACCCTTGGTAAGTTCTTGTTTGAGTGTTTTATTCTTACAACTGCATGAATGAATAAAATGTGTGTTTGCAGGCAGCATCCTTCAATGTATGTAGTGGAAAGGCCTGGTGATAGCTAAGCACTTGTTTCAAATGTTTTTTCTAGTAAATACAGGAAAAGATTTCACTGTAGGGCAGAACAATTTCCTCTGTAGATGTAAATGTGTATGAATGCATGTGTGTGAACTCAGATTTCTTTGCACCACTCGTGTCAAGAAGGGAAGGGCAGCTTGGTGTTGGTTACCTGACTGAAGTGAATGGATTTGAAGATTTTTGAAGATTTCTTAATTAACAGGTTCAATATATAATGCTCATAGCTGGCCAGATGTCATTCTGAACCCTGAGTGTATTTATGTCTCACAGCAGAGCTCAAGTGTAAGGGTGTAATTCTCTGTTAGCAGTCTCCCAAGAGTTCAACTACAGCTCAATTTCAATAATAGTGAGTCCTGAGGAATTTAACACATTTCCAGGAAGAAAGGTGATCTCTGCCCCGACAACCCTGACTTTTCTACTCTTGTAAAATAACCAGCCCAAAATTTGAAGATAGCATGTGGAATATTGGCCTACTAATACTTAGTGATCCAAGCATTTTGTGTCCTTTTTGCCCTCTGTGTGTTGAACATGTGCCTTCTTTCACCACATTACCACTGTATTTGTATTCCTGCCCACTGCTTTTATAGGTCATTCCCTATTGCATCTTGTACAACTCCTTGCATAGTCTCTTTCAGCCTCACCTTGCAATTCCAGACAAAATCTTGTCTTTGTTCTCTGCAGTTCTTGCATCTCTTTGATGCATTTCTTCTGTGATGAGCTGCTCTTGGTGCTTTCACAGCAGTTTGCATGATCTGTTTGGAGTTAGGTTGGTGCACCAGTCCTGCTCTGACCACTTCAACCACTAAATGAGTTCTTGGACTGCTCTTGGTCTTATTCTTCCTTTGGACAAGTGCCAAGTTTTTCTTTCCTGGCATCCATCCACAAGAGAAACAGGACTCTAGTGCTGGGAATGTTTAGTCAGTATTTCTAACAGTAAATTGATGTACATCTTTGGCAAGTGTAAAAAGCAGATTTGTGTAAGTTAGAAGGCCCACTATGCAATTTATTTCAGCTTGTGCTGCCATCCTGTGAAGTTTTGGTTCCCTCAGAAAGCAGTTGATTCACATACAACAGGCAGGTTAAATTGTTTCAGTTGATCTCTGGTGTTTCTATTAGGACTTGAGTATTTCCTCTGGAAGGGAAGAGAGTGAAGATGAGCTCAATGTGTACTTCAATGCTTTGTTTTCACAGAAGGCTTTTGTGCCAATGAGAATTTCTCCTGCAGAGCTGGAAGTGCTACAGTCACAGCACACATTAATGTACACTGCCAAAATTGGATGCTTTATGTGAATACTCTTCATTTTGAGCTTGCTGTCATATGGGAAAAATCTTTCTTCAAAGACTGGTACAGATAGAAAATGAGGGAGTTTTGAATTATGTCTTTCATCTAGTATAACTGCTTGTTTTAATAACAGCAGTTCTGTTTTTACTGTTGCTTGTTAGCCTAAAAACAATTGTTGATGAGGAATTGACAGACAAATGGAGCACAGAGAACTTTTGTCTGCTTTTTTTCTGTAGCTGAGCTTTATCCTTCATCAAATCCCTTTTGAGTCTGAGTGGCATAATGTTACATAATTACTTGATATTTGCTCACTTCTACTTGATATTTGTTCACTTCAGGGACAACAGTCTCTTGGTTGCCTTCATGTTGTTTTCCTTGCCCAGTATCACAGTTCTTGCACTTTCCAGCATATTCCTCTTTGTAGGTCAGAGCTACTGGAAGCAAGTGTTACTAGGTGCCATTTGTCTCTTCAGTCTTCCTATGGCATAAGTCATGATCTAGATTAGAGTTCAAATTCGCTGCTGAGCAGTACCAGGATATTAATCTTTATGTCCCTACTCCTTCCAGAACATGGGACAAGATGGCCCATTGTTATTTGACTGGTGTAGCAGTGGTGTAGCAGCAGGGCTGCACAGGATCAGGGTGTTGGAGAGTGCCTGGGTGAATGAGGGAATCCACTTGCCTGGCTCTGGAGTGCCAGGAACAGCTCCCTGCAGGCCTCACTGCTGGGGCAGCTGCACGTTCCACTGTGGGCTCTGGCTCCCCAGGGAGTCAGGACGTGCAGGCTGAGGTTGGATGAGAAGCAGAAAGTGGATGTGGCAGGGACAGAGTACAAAGGTGGGAACAGGAGAGGCAGGCTGGAGGTGTGTGTGACAGTGTTGTGATTCATTCAGTCTGTCAAAACAACCATGTGTTACAACATATTTGGAGAAAGTCAAACAGAACTTTGGAAGTGTAAAACACTTCCAGAAAACTCTATCTGCAGTTAGTACTCTAAAAATGAGGTATAATCTGGCCAAGCGAAATGGTCATCACGGATATTACAGGGATGTGGTTCTTCATTCATAGGATTGTAAAGTGAGTTATGTAAGTAAGAACAGGAATTAAAATTTGCTTCCAGCCCTTGTTGCTGTTCATGTCCCACAGAACATGAACAGCCTCACTAGGGACAAGTAGGAGCAGCTGAAACTGGGAAATCCCATTCAGTGATCCCTGTTTTCCTTGGTGCAAGATCACACATGAGTCATGTTTTGCATCTGAGTCCTGAGGCCCTTCAGCCTTCATTTCAGAGGTGTCTCAGCTGCCATGACATCTCACCTGCAGATAGAGGGATTGGATCACTTTGGCATTTTCCATCTGTTCTGTTCTTCACACTCACTGGCATTCGAGGGATGACGGGACTGGTGCAGGACTGAGCAAGTCCAGCCACGCAGCCCCTGGGGCAGGACCTGCCTGGCATAACCAAACTCCACCTTCTCTCCCGAATGTCCCAGGAGCATCGTCCATCCCGCCAGCCCCGCCGCCGCCGCCCCCGCCGCCAGCAGCTCCGCCCCCGGGCTCAGAGGGGAGCGCGGAGGCGCCCCCGGCCCGGCCCGAGGTCAGCGCCAGCCGAGGAGCCCTGCTCAGCTCCATCCAGAACTTCCAGAAAGGAACCCTGAAGAAAACACAGACGTGCGACCACAGCGCCCCCAGGATCAGCTGAGGCCGCCGGTCACGGCAGGATTCAATTCCCTGTCCCCTCCTGAGCAGCACCAGCAGTGCAGCTCCCCTCGCCCCGGTTCCAGCACTGCCTGCCCGAGCTGCTGTGCCCTGCCGGGATGGGCACTCCGGTCTTTACTTGGCTGCAGGAACTGGGTGCTACAGCTACAGCTGCAGGGGAACAGCAATTCCTCTGTAGCTGAACAAAAAATCTGAAATAGGAATGACCTTGATGATGGTAAATTAATGCATTTTTCCTAGCTCCATTCCACCCCATTTTTCAAGTTACAGGAATGTAGTTTTAGTCTGCTCAGTTTTTCAACTCTTTTCACGCACTTGTAACTCATCTTAATTCTTGCTGCATGGAGTCAACAATTTTTTACATAATCCAACCCTTGAAACATACTGCACAGGTGAGGGAACTGGAGAATTAAATCTTATTCCCACCATGTTTTGCTGGTGGAGTTAAAATGCTGTCTCATGAAGCTTGTTTAAATGGACATCCTACCTGCAACTCTAGGGGAAAGTGTTTTTAAATGAGGAAGCAGTTGAAGTGTGAGGTTATAGGGCACTGGGATGTTTTTGTTGATTTAATTAAATGAGAAGTTACTTCAAGTTAATTCTATCATTTAAACTTTATTGCAAGATCCTTTTTGATTTAAAACCTTAAACAAATTGCACTTTAAAGGATTATAGATAATCCATTTTTTTAAATTCAAGTACATCAGTGTTTGTTACTATGCAGAGAATGTCTGTACAAAGTTTCATGTAACCTGTGATATTCATTTTTATTAAAACGTTAATGGAATTCCTTCAGCAGCATGTGGTGGGTATGTTCCAGTGGGATTCAACCTCCAAGCCAGACCTCCCAAGAACTGAGCAGCACCTCTGCTACAGGAAATACCCTGGGGAGTGTTCCTGGCTCTGCAGAAACAGGACCCAACTCTTCTGCCTTACAGAAGATCCTCTCCCCCATTGAGCCGAGGGGCAGAGCAGCCCCTGCTGCACAGGCCCCTCCAGGCAGCTTTCCCTCTGTACCAGGAGCTGCTGAGGGAGGCCTGGCAGAGCTCCCTGGCATCTCCAAAGGCTGCTCTGAATGTGTCCCAGCTCTTCATACACACTCCACAGACCTGCTGCTTGGGCTCAGTGCAGCTGGATAAACTCATTTTGCATTGCAAGAGCTATAGGAAGAGTGTGCTGCTGTCAGCCCAGGTGAGGAGTTTAAAAAAAAAAAGAAACCACAAAAAACTTGAATAGTAAAAGCAAAGCATCTGGGCATTTTTTTAATCACTGTTATGTGGCAGGTAGTGAAGAAAAATTGGGTATTGTTTCCCATCACATCGTGGAAAGGTTCAGGATCTTTATTTGAGCTCTTGAACAGAAGCCTTTCTGCATGTGCAGAGTGCTCTTCAAAGCAGACACAGCCAGCATCTCCTAACCCAGCCCTGGGCTGCCACAGCCTCTGCTGCACTGAGGGCTGGGCTCCAGTGATCAGCCTGATCATGGCTCTCCAATGAGCCCTGCAACCACAGGCTCCTGCAGCTGTGCAGCATTCAAGGCCTGCTCCTGCCCTCACTCACTGCTGCAGCAGCTCCAACACAGCTCCTCTGGCACTTACAAGCCAAGCAAAAGCAGAGGATTTCCCCTCATGCTGAGTTTACAACAGGGTTTCTCCACAAACAGCAGCACTGAGCCAGCTGTACTGTTGAACAAACAAGCATTACCACATGGTTGCAGACAGAAAGTGTGGCTTGGGGGGGTAACCCCATATAAATATTTTGGGAGGTCACTATACTTTCCCCACTGTACAAAAGATCATGGAGCTTATACAACAGATATTATGCATACAACATGCCCAACACCAAGAATGCCTTGTAGAGCAGGATTTTAAAACATCTATTTACAACTTATATATTCAAAGTTTTTTTCACTGCAAATACTATATCCTTCACTTGAGGTATGCTGTTATCCTCTAAGATTTTTGCATAAGGCATGGGGACATCAGCACCGGTGACACGCACAGCTGGAGCATCCAGGTAGTTAAAGGCAGGCCCTGAAACAGAAGACAGTGTCAGGTTGCCAAGTACTATGCTTTTATCTTGATTCAATTGCTGAATCTTACTCTATTTATAAACAATGTTGTTGCTGTAGCTCTAATACTCCAGAAAGCAGTGTTCTGGCTTGTGTTCATGCACTCTCGGGTTTGGTCACCCACCCCGTGAAAATCTCCAGAGTAAGACAGCTCCACTCCCCTGATGTAACCTCTAACTCTGCTTTTGCCTGGCTTCATCAAGAATAATCAGCATTTAGAGTAGGGAATGAGATCAGTGTGCTGTGAAACTCAGTACCTTCCATGATCCTGGCACAGATTTCAGCTCCAACTCCAAACTGGGGCCAACCTCCTTCTACAGTGACCAGATGGTTTGTCTTGACCACGCTGGCTTCCACCGTCTCTATGTCCATCGGCCGAATGGTTCGCAGGTTTATCACCTGGGGAAAGGGAGGGTGTGAGCCTGGCAGTGCCCTGAGCCTGAGCTGTGCCCTGAGAGCTGGAGCTGTGCTCTGAGCCCTGAGCTGTGCCCTGAGAGCTGGAGCTGTGCTCTGAGCCCGAGAGCTGTGCCCTGTGCCCGTGCCCTGAGCCTGAGATCTGTGCCCTCAGTGTGTGAGCTGTGCCCTCAGTGTGTGCCCCGAGCGTGAGAGCTGTGCCCTGACTGTGTGCCCTGAGCTGTGCTCTGAGAGCTGGAGCTGTGCTCTGAGCCCTGAGCTGTGCCCTGAGCCTGGGAGCTGTGCCCTGAGAGCTGTGCTCTGAGAGCTGTGCCCTGAGCCTGAGCTGTGCCCTGAGAGCTGGAGCTGTGCTCTGAGAGCTGGAGCTGTGCTCTGAGCGCTGAGCTGTGCCCTGACTGTGTGCCCTGAGCTGTGCTCTGAGAGCTGTGCCCTGAGCCTGTCACTCACCACTGCCTGGGTACAGGTACAGGGCCCCTCAGCACTTCCAGCTCTTCTGACTCCAAAGACAAGACTTAATAATTAATTTCTAACTCAGAAACGTGAACAGCACATGCTGTTAGGGCACTTGCAAGTATTAACTGTTGTAGGTAATACACTGAAGTTTTGCAGAACTTGAACAAGTAGATGCTACTTTTTCCCCTACTTTAGAGAAAGCGAAAAGTAACCCAAACCTCACCCACCTCACACTCTACACCTTCTTTAGAAAGTACAGCAGCTGCTTCCAAACAATGGCCAACAGGTCTTGAGTGTGCCACTAATGTAACATGAGTTCCTACAACAGAAACAAGAGTAAGAAAAAGCCTCCTGAGATTTAAAGCTTTTTTCTAGACCTCAGGTTCCTTTCAAGGTAGTATTAGGATTCACTTGTAAATTTTAGGTTCTTAGATTTATTTGAAATACTGAGCCCAGGCACAGTATGAAGAGAGGAAGGACCACATTAAGATACAAATTTTGCCCTTGAATTCAGGGAACTGAAGAAGTATTTAAAAGAGTTTTCATATTATCGTATTCAAATATTCCTATAATTCAGAGGTAAATTATGAAAAAGTGGGCAGAAACACTACAGTGATCTTTTTTTGCATTTTTGACCAAAATCACATACTTAGGTGAGGAAAAAGCAGTTTCAGCCATCACCTACCCAGTCTGTACTACAGAACAAATCCTTTATGGAATCCTTTGGAAGGGTATGGTTTAAGCTGAGTTATGGACAATCAGGTCATATTTCCTTGTAAGGGCAACAGAACATGAAACCACAACAGTGGATAAAAGAACATTTGAATACTTTACATTTGAAATACTTCTCTGTACCCTGAATACATGAGAGGTTAAGAAAAGGCTCCAAGCATGTCAATTAATAAGGAAACAAATGCATTCTCAGCTTACCTTGCTTTTCTATTTTAGCTTTCCCAATGGGAACAACAAACTCCTTTGACTGTGCCTGTTCAGACATTTCAAAGGGAACACCATAGAGTAATTCACTTTCCAGCATCACAACTAGAAGGAAACAGACTTGGGTTAGTGTGCACAGCTGCAGGCACAGGCCTGCACTGACCATTAACAGTGCTGCAGCTCAAGACAGCAAACCCACCCAGGCAACAAGGGAGTGAGAACTGTTTGCAGAAGGAATTAAAAAAAAAAGAGTAAATCTAAGTTTTTCCTTCAAAAATGAATTATTTAAAAAACTTCTACAACTACTCTGCAATGAGGTGAGCCATTTTACTTTTGGTACATGACAGCACAATCACTAGTTTTAGAAAGGCCTCATATTTTTAATTACTGTTTGTGAAAAAATAAAGTCAAAGGTTGCCCTGCTCTTGAATAAGGACATTCTGAATTTATAATTTGAATTTCATGATCTGTAAAATGGAGTTATATAGGCACCATAAATGCAGGAATGTAATGTAATATAATAATTCTCCTAACTCATCTTCACCCTTTTTAACCCCTTTGTGACAGATTTGCAAATACTCCCAGGTTTCCAGGCTGATACCAAATTAGCACTAAAACTGAGCACCTGGCAGCAGCACAAAATCAGTCTGCTGTTAGCATGGCAGGACACTGTTATGTGGCAGCTAGTAAGGAAAAATCAGGTATTGTTTCCTATCACATAGTGAAAAGGTTCAGGATTATTTCAGCTCTTTTACAGAAGCCTTTCTGCATGCTCAGAGTGCTCTCCAAACCAGACACAGCCAACATCCCTTAACCCAGCCCAGGCCTGTGTCAGCCTCTCCTCAGAGCGAAAGATAAAAGCACAAATCCCTCTGTGTCTTTTTACATACCCTAA